AAAAGGCGCGATAGGCTCTCTGAAGTTTCTCGATATCATAATGAGCGAATACCAAACGGTTTGGTCTGAATCCACCGATGTCTACCAATTTTTGGCGACTACAATATCGCCATAAGAAAATTCAGGTTTCGTATTCAGTACGGAGAACATATAGCATATCTCCAGCGTTGCAGGGACGTCTTAGCCCCTAGGGTGGAGAAAGGGAGCCCGCCTCGAGTCGTTTTAGTATGTTTAGTCCTCTCAACAGTATTTGCCTTTCCTAAGCAGTGCTAGCCAGTTGGCCCTGTCCTGCGGTGATATCCAATATGAGGATTGCATTATTTCCTCATTAAATAACGATGAAGGCGTTTCTTCTCAAAGTTTTTCCCCAATGAAGATGCACTCGTTATTATCGATCAACTCATTTGCGTTATTAGTGACGGACCGGATCACTTGGAAATTTGTCGTGAAGGCGAGAAGCTAATACAATATGAATGCGACTAACGGCTCATCGAGATACGGGATAATTATAATCGTTGTCGCCATGTCGAAATATTTCATCCGCGCGCAACACTCAGCTATGAAGGGGGCACGAAACTAATGAAATATGAAATTTGTCACGAGGCTGAACTGTTGCCGAACAGTAGCGTTAACGCATCTATCTCATTAGTCTTGAGTCCCGGGATCTGGAATCTGAAAAAGGGTAATACGAATCGATCCGCTGGAGTCAATAGGCACCGGTGCACGATTGATTCATGCCAGAACAGATAACTGATGGAGTGCAGTTGCTGCGAATTGAATTCCACATTAAAAACTGATTCTCACAGAGCTTTCAGCATCTTCGGCACTCTCCTCTGAGGAGCGCTTGACCCTCAAGGGGAGCAGCTCGTTCCACCGTGGGCAAGCCTCGATAATCTCAGTGCAGCGATTGACCTTGTTGATCACTCTACCGACTACTGCGTGGGTACCCGATACCTTGGCAACACACTGGGACGAACTATGAGCCTGAGGAAGGTTTCAGCTCACACGCTTCCCCAGGTCTGCTATTTTGGTCTGAACAAGGCCCAGCTTGCCACGTGCCTACAGGAAGCAGTCAGCAACGAGATGTTTGCCTCCCCCGTATGGATACAGTTTTGATTTTCTTCATCAAAACCGAAACTCGTTTGACGTTCTCCATGAGGTCTTTGCTCCTAGGAAGCACAGCTGCAACGGCCTAATGTGACAGTAAGACTTACTGTATAGCTGATTTCACACGTCTGAGGCCATTGGAAAATTCCTCGACAGAGAGGCTTCCATCACCACTGACATCGAGGATTGTCCACAGCTCCTCCATTTCACTCGGCTCGAGGTCCAGGACCTGTCATCGTCATTACTAGGCGATAAAGACCATCGTGTGTGTTGTTGTGCATGGGTGTCTGGCACAATGGCCGTATCCATGTTGCACATGCCGAGGGTACTTTAAGCTTATTCTGGACAGTCGTGTTGTACAGTACTGCCTCTTGGAACTCATCGAATGAGAGTTCTCCACTGCCGTCAGCGTCTAAGTCATTGAACAACTGAGCGAGGCTGTTCATCTAAGGCAGCACTGGAGTCTCAGGAAACAAGACCCGAATAATCTACGCATAGACCTACATCGTTCTGCTTCTCCCGCTCACGTATCTTAGCTTGCTCCTCAGCATCAGCTTTTGCGATAGAGAAAGCGTTTTCGACAATCACAGCCGTTATCAGGTTCATCAAAACCATCACCACACACTGAGTAGACACACAATGTCATAGCTCCTTAGAGGCGATCATCGTGTCATCATTACCAATATGACAGCCACGAAGAAAACAGTCACAGTTACGGGCGCCTTGGCCTGCATCGGTCTGACAAACGAAACACCACCTCCGGAGAAGATTATTGGTCTAACATCACTGACCTTGCTATTGCTGCCCAGGAGTCGAGGGTCATGACTTGGAATAAGGTGAGCATGGCACGAGAGACGCTCCCGAAGTGGTCTTGCACCATCACGTCGCCGCTGAACTATGCAGTGGAAGGAACAAGATTAAAGCAGAACTTGATGATTCCTACTTGAAGACTTCCATACGGCCGATGATCTCCACAGCGAAGATGGAGAATATGAACAGTATCGACGCTATCAGAATGTATCTACCACGGTGGTGCTCCTCGAGACCTCCACGCAGCCCTTCAGGTCGATACAACGCGCTGCTTACGTCCACAATAGCGTTCTGGCTGATGAGGCCAAGCCTCTGACCATATTCCACACGACGTGGAAGAATGGTACGACTCGAACAGCTCTGATGACCCGAATTAGTCTCATTAAACCTACTGGTGCTGGCGCATAATACAGGTGACTACCACTCACGTAGCGACTGCATAACACGGAAAGTGTCGTGAGTGTTCGAGTTCGAGCTGCTCGACCATGCAGCAATACAGTATAGGAGTATCTGTTCTGGCAGCTACTGTTGCTGCTGGCGGCTTAACATGAGCCCATACCAGAATAGCCTCTGCCATGTACCATATACTGTACAGGAGATAGAGACGTCCGTAACCTGGACCGGAGGCTATTTGTGAATAGCATAACTCCGGCCCACTTACACAGCAATCTTAGTGAGATATCGAATGTAAAGAACGTAACGAAGAACTGCTCGAGCGTCGTGTACCTTCCCAATTGCGACAACACTCGCATGCGCGCCTAATGAACAAATCACGCCGGGTCAAAGTCTATAGAGCACGACGTCATCAGCTACCATCACTAGTTCGAGTTGTCGTATAGATCAACCGGACAGGAATCCATGGGTATTCACGGGGGAAGACTTACAGGCCGTCGCTGTGGTCAGCCGTTTGCGCACTAAACTGCATCCCCAGGAATACGCAGTGAATGATGGTTATACATCCCATGAGCCGTTCGTGTGATGAGCTATCTACGTAGAGCTTGAGCCTGCTATAGGACGCAACTATGGACAACCTTGGCATAACCGTAGTGCCTGCTCCCTCACGAAGTGTGTTGAAAAAATTACTCGTGCAGAGAAAAAGATGCTACGAATGGGCCCCACCGTGGGAAGTGAGGATGCTTATAGCTTGATCCGCTTTTAATAGCCCTATCAATGTATCTATAAAACTGGCTAGTTCACGGAAGTCTGTGACACAGATACCCACACTCGCCGAACTAGATTATCCAGATGGATGAGCTCGAGCAACCATGCAAGGAGCCAGTTCTTGTGATACAGCTTGTCGATGTAGTCAGTCATGAGCTCTCTAGCCTACTCAAAACCATCAGGGAGGAACTCCTGGCTTGATCGTCGCCTACAACGGGTCCTTCCGACTCCTTATCGTCATCAGTTGGATCGTGGCTGAGCCTCCCGTTGTTTTGGTAACGCTCGCTAGTTATCCCGCGGGTATTCTTACTCTCCTGCTTCGAAGAGTACCCGCCTGTGACGACATAGTCACTGAATTGAATCGATGACTTGGTCAGGCCAACCGTTGGAGGCGCGGATGCATGACGGTGACTCGTTGCTTCGATCAAAATCTATCACCGTCCCATCGGTCCGGTAGACGTATTCCTGTGACGGAGTGATTTACTCAAGGGTGCTCGGACAAGGCACGTATCACTCGCAGCGACCTCCGTCTTTTAGCGTGTTTCTTGCTTTCCTGGGGCTCATGCCCATCTGGTTGGACTCGCGCGTTCTGATTGAGTTGATCGTGACTGAGTTTCGAAGGTACCGAGTCACCTCAGAGGTTAAGTGCTCGTTGAGAAAATCTGGGACGTACGTGATGGGTGTAATGAATCTCGGTATGGTCTTCCGTTTCTCGGTGCCTCGTGAAGGAGAATCCATAGGGACAATATAAGGTTACCTCATACACTGAGGACAACGCAATCAGGCCGACAGGGAAGATCCCGATCTCGAATAGAGTGACGAAACGGAAGGCTCGAGAAACTGAGGTTGCTAAAGGTGATGAGGAGGCCTCTGAGATGAGACGACAGGGAATGGGAAGAACAATGGACCTTTTCGATAGGGTTGTGGACAAGGCCATCAGCAACACTATGCGAAGTCTCAGGTCGACTTGGTCTCCCAAACCAGGCCTTGGTACTCAGGATGCGGTAGAGAGAAGCTCATTGCCACATCAACGGCCAGGAGTTGACGAAGGCGAGGTACAGTCGATAGTTCCTGTTGGTAGTTGAGGAGGTTTCAAAACCTCGTGAAAACCTTGGAACTGTTGTATCTTGCTGACGACACACCCTACAAACCTGGAACTCCAAATAATCATCGAATCTGCCGGCTCTCTGTCCTCGTAACCCAATCGTTCGGAAGGAGTCAACCACGTGCGGAGGGTCGTTGATCCGTCTTGCATTGCAAGACAACAATAAAAATTGTAATATAAAGAATTACAAGTTACAAGTACGGTATTACAAGAATTGTAATACTGTATCACATATCTCTCATGGACTATACACCTTCGGAGTAATATGTACTAGGCGGTGGATGCCCCATCCAGCCTTAGCGGAGCTCTGAAGCACGAAAGGGATTACTTTTTAACTTTCTCATAATGTGGTCCATCAGAACAACCGAAAAGGACATGGATTTTCAATCTAAAGTTGTCTCGGCATTGAGTGCGGCGAAGGGTTCGTGTTCAGGATGCTGTGAAAACTCTCGTGTTGTTGTATTGTTCGAATCGGAAGTTATCGCAACGATGATCTGGTATGAGCATGACAAATGGATATTCCTGATCATATTGAGAACTCAACCCCCAGCTGAGTATGGATAAGCATGATAACACCGAGTGCCTCTAAGCATGCCCAGGACCGGCAAGGCACATCATGGAAGATTCTCTGGATCATCTGTTATCTTACCATCGCCTCGTTGCCCATCGTAGACTGCGCTCATGCGAGCCATAGCCCGGCCTGAACTCGCCAAGAAATGCCTATCTACATCAGCACTTTGTTTTAACGAAATCTCGCTGGCATGCTTCTCTCAAACACAATTCGATTCCATAAGCACGTACGTTGTTCCTCCTCCACCTTAGACTTGATGTAAAGAGCAATCCCTCCGCATGCAGTAGCAAAGACCCCGATACCCACGCCGAATGCTACCAAGCCTTCCATCATGGTGTGCCCGAGGTCGCCCGTAGCGCACATCCTGAGATGGATATGCCCAGCACTCAGTCGAGAAGCTCATCAGTTCGCTGCTTTCAGAGTAGCCAGCGCTTACCGTCCTGCCTTGCCGATTGAGTCTGTGCTTCCTGAGTCAATGGCGAAGGAGCTCTGCTGCACAGCAGCTGGGCTGAGCATGTGGTCCATATCGTCATAGTCAGGACCATCCTCGTCGTAGTCATCATAGTCCCCGTCATCGTAGTCTCCATCATCATCCTCATTTTCATGCTTATGGTCATGAGCCTTCGCGCCCACACCGTCAACTGCGACAGCGTTGCGCAACACTCATGCAGCGAAGCCTCACCAGGCTTGTGTTCCCCTGCTTCGATTCTATGCTCACCGTCTCCCTCACCATGTGGATGACTATCTACTTCACCACCGTTGTCGGCTCCTCCTTCCTGTAGGAGTGGACGACTGTGCACCGCTTCGCCTGTTTGAGGAGCTCCTGAAACCAAGGCTTTGAGGTGCGAGCTGGGTACACTGTGGCGACCTGAATCCCCAGGGTCCACGTCATGGTCAAGAGCGTGATCTTGGTCTTGGAACGGAGCAGGATGTTCCGAGTGGCCTGGGAACGCTGTTCCTGAGAGCATAGGTATCATCCTGACCTCAGCAGCGCATCAAAGCTACGCACCGATCACATGGGGATGGTACCCTGGACTGCCAATCCCGAACAAGTGATCAAGGGCAACCATTCAAAAGGGATGAACAACCGTGGAAACGTCGATTGCCCGTGTGTCCCACAACGCGACTCCCAAGGATGAGTTTCACTCCATTGTGGCGATGCCTGGTGGCATCGAATTGTTGCCTCCAGGACAACTCTGATAACCGCCGAACTCAACGTACTAAGTAGCGTACAGTAACTGCGACCCAATTCCTTGTATGAGAGGCTCTACGCAACAATCATGCTTGCATACAGAGCCACCACCAATACCATAACAATTCCCTTTATTAAAACGTCTCACTGAACTTGAACCTTCGAGAAACGACATGATAGATAGTATATAAGAGCTCCACGATATTTCATTGCTGTTCTTCCCAGAGGCAACCAAAGCCCATTAGGTGTTGCTCTATTCCGACAACAGGTTTTATGGAGGCAGATACTTCCCCTATGACGGACTGAACACAATCTTCTCAAACATTATGAGCTCAGAAACTTGTTGGATAGAGGTTTCAATCATCGCTGATCGTGAGTCATCAGTCAGTTCGATAAGTGTCACCATCACCATTGGGAGCATGTCTCTGTTCTGGCAGCATACCCTTAGAACGGAGATCTTCCCTCTCAAGGTCGTGTTTAACCCAAATGGGCATTTTCGGTAAGGTGGACACCAACACCAACTGCACTGTCAATATCAAATGCTCCACACCGAACACCGAAGCAACGACGAACCGACCGTACCCGGCCAGGACGGTGTCACCTCGAAAGAACCTGAACGAACAACAGCGAGATCGCACTTGCAGAACAACGCCACTTGCCCTACTGTGGAAACACCTCAGGCATCTGATCACTGGCAAAACCAAACAAGATGCAATTCGTGAACACTGCTGCCCAGCACATGAATTCCACAATTTGGCACCATAATCTGTGCAGGCTCGGGTCCAAGGGATGGGAGGGTCTATACATAGGCCCACAGTGACGAGTCAAGCCGAGTTTCAACTCGTCCGAATATCTGACCGTACAGTTGTCACTCAACACAGGCAGTGGCGCTAAGATGGCTACCTCTCGATGACCATAGCGATAAGGCTGACCAGAGAACACAGAGGCATCGATGTGGCCCCGAATACGGTGACGTAGCCGAACGTGATGACGACCTGAAGGGCATGAGAGTATCTCCCCACTGCTATCAACGAGCCCACCTCTAGGTAGTCGTCAAAGACCTCATGCTCGTCCAACTCCTCAGCACGATGGAGCTGCTCATCGGCGCTAGTGGCTGGAGGCACCTTAGCGCTGCCGAAGGTGCGGTATGAGTGAATAAATGGTATCTACCAGGACCAAGAGTCAGCCCACTAAGTGCAGAGCTCCCACAACCTTACTAGAGTTTCTATAGCGAATCTCCGGAATGTATCAACGTAATACAGGGAGACCAGTTCGCCGCGCAATTTCATGATATCCAACTGAAGACATCACAGACTGGATTTTCCAGGACCATACCCGGCAGCTACTCACTTCGTACAAGCCGACATAGAAGAGGACTGAATAACAATCGAGAGCCTCAAAAAGAAAGCGCTTGAAAACTAAGGACTTCTGGTACTGGACCATCAGTGGCCAGTTCTCAAGCTTGGTCAACCAAGCCGCAATGTCGCGATATCTGCATGGACGGTACGCCCTCGAAGGTAGCCAGGACTCACGTTAGATTCATGAACTGAATGACTATCGTGTGACTGAGGACCGGCAGCATGCTCCACGGAATCACGCTGTCGGACTTCGGGTCAAAGATGTGACCAGGCTCAGCGAAGTGGGCTAGTTGCGGTATGTAAAACGGTGAACTGAAAAATGACAAACGATTGTACGGTAACCTGTGGGGACAGTCAGCGCACACAAAATGAGCCTCGAGACCTTCAGCAAGAGTCGAGTTAGGTCCGTGGATGTAGCCTTGGAGATTAAGAGAACACATACCAACACAGAAGGCACAGAGGACCATGAAGGCAGTGACTAAGGCGGAAACGGCGAAACCAAAGGCTCTACGCCAGAGAGGACAATACCTGGATAAATGACTGCGGTCATTGACATTAATGACTCCTACTTCTCAGTGGCACCAGTGACGGGAGACCGCCTGTGGGAGTAGGCCTGATAATGAGGGTTCGCTCTCTGGGCCTCGCGCTGACCCTTGTTGAAGCAGCTGTCAATAGTATCGGTGGCTCGAGTAGTCCATCCACCATATTCAAGCCAAGACGGCAGAGCCACACTCCAGACCAGGAGGAAGAAGGCATACCTGATACTGTACTAGCTGAAGAACGCGAGCAAGCGCCTTACCAAGGCACGTAGGGTGAGTCCACGACACTAGATCCAGTCTCCCCGACAGCCCAGAGGACGACTGCGAAGAGACTCGGTGGGACCAGCCAGTATATGATGATGCTGATGAAGTTGAAATAGTCTCGCACTGGCAAGAGGGCAGTCCGGACTTCATGCTCAGTGAAGGGCTCTGGTAGGCTCTGCACCTCAACAGCATCTGGCAACACACTGAGGCCACCTCCATATCATGATTACATACCATCCAAGTCGAAGCCGCATATCGAATAAATCGCATTGGTGACAGCAGTGGTGGTCTCTAGCCAGGACAGATGAACAGGACGGGGAGCATCACGGACCGGCACCAACGCACCTGGCCAAACCACTGATAGAAATTCCAAGTCTGAGAGCTTACCTTGTGCCTTGGGCAGTGGCCACATCTCCTTCCCACTAGATATGGGTGGGAGTTCTTTACTAGAAATCATCGATAGGATATGAGCATCATCAGCCAACCGCAGTAAGGCCGTTTCAGATTCGGCAGATACGTACACTACTGGTTTACCGCCCTACAGATACGGGCCGGTGATCAACACAAACCCCTACCTGGCAGCTCATACCTTCTCACTGCTTTTGCTTGGCACCTTAGCCCAAGCCTTGAGCCCTCTCTCAGCAGAGTTGAGCTCTTGGACGATGTAGTCCCTATCCTCTTGAGTACCACACAATACAGCCACCGCAGCAGCAGAACCCATCATGAGTTCTCCACCCCCTTTCAATGACATGCGTAGTAACAAAATCTAAAACTACAATCACCAACACCGTCACCATCCTTGCAGCGCGAGCAAGATCGGCATATGTCTTACCCACCGAGTCTCGGTGACCGAGATAAGCATGCTCGCAGGCTCACACTAGTACTCTGATCAACCTTGATATCAGCGACCTGCTCTTCAGCCTACGATCACTGGTACTCACGCGTTCCATCAAAAGCAATGGATTGGGCAATGCCACAGCATTGCTAGAGCCCAAGTGGGCACGTCCTGTGACAGCACACAAGCAATCATTCTGTGTTTTCTGTCTCCTTATACCGCTAAACTCATACCGAGCCATGTTCCATGTCGATGATGAATGGTCAGTTCAAGGCGAGAGACTGACTGTAGTATACAACTAGTCAACCATCATGGTACTCTCTCTAGGAGAAAGCAGTTTGTCGCGGTGAGAGTCCAGCCCATCTGAGACTCACACGGAATTGTGTTGGTTTAGTGGTAGTCAATCCCGCCGCCCATACACCCATCTCGAGCGTTGAGCCCAAGCTACTTCATTTACACTGCTGTTACCAACTCGAGTCCACAGAGTTCAACATCACCAAGTAACATTCACTACAGCATGGGCATCGTCTCGAGCAATTCAGCACATAAGAGGCTATCGCGTAGTAGGGCGATCAACCTTATCTTCGTCATCCTCATCCCTGGCCTCTGATACAATGCCGATTCCAAGAAAACTAGCATCACACCTATGCAACTGCCCAACCTCACAGAGCATCTTACTCCTCTATAGCGTCCTCGCTCGATTGTGCCAACCTGTCCCGCCTTGGACCGTCCACGTCCCTATAATCTGGACCAACAGCTGGGTCTGACGGCCACTCCCTCAGTAGCTGGTTCGAGTCAACCGTGATAACCGAGCCTATGCCAATACAACTACAATACAGGGAGGCGGCGGCGGCCGCCTACATTCGTGACGATGTGTCTCTGCGCAGAAATACCGCGACTCACACTCCTGGCATATGGTGAATTTGGGCCCACATACATCACATCTAAGCAGTTGAGTAGATCCTAAACAAGCTCCCATGGCCCCACCTGTATCGGGTAGAGCCTATAATAGGAGTCATCTCGCAGCGGGCGCATCGCACCCCAACCTGAAAGCATATCACCACCACCAGCACTCAGTTCAGTCCCACGTGCAGAGGACAGCCTCGTAGTAGTGCTAAGTGGACCTTTCGAGCGTGTTGCCGCCTCTTGGACTCCTCCCTGATCTCGTAGTGATGCTGCTGCTGCTCCAGAAGACGAACCATGAGGTCGTCTCCAACCTGAAGGCATAACCCTTCTTCCCAGCTAAGGACCCAGCCCCGACCATGCGGTAATAGTCAACATCTGTCTGAGGCAGTTCAAAGCGACACAATGGACAGCAAGCATTGTTCGTCAACCACAGCTTCACACAGTCCAGATGGAACTCATGACCGCAACTGAGGACAGCTGAAATCCATCACTCGCTGTGCAGAAGCCCCACGGCAGGTCAGTGAAGGGATCTGGGTCATCATCCTCATCAGCGCATATTGCACAGTAGCGACCGCCGTCCATAGCCAGATCTTCCCGAAGTACTTCATAGTCAGCTGGTGAGATATGGACCTAAACTACCGTACCGTACGGACCATACTTCTCCACTACCCGCTCCCTCTCTAGTGATTCCAACATCGCCGAGCACACTGCCTTGCCGCTCCCTTTGACGCTGCCTGACCTCCTACCAGCATGGACCTGCACTGACACCTCTAGACGAACATGCCCCTCCAACCGCACCGAGGGGATATCGTCTCCATCCGAGCCTGGCTCCTCCTCAATGATGTTCGGGGCCATCACAAATCGACCACCTGCATCACTCCAAGACCATAAACGTTAAGACCCCCGCTACTACTACTACTACTACTACTACTACTACTACTACCACCACTCGCCCCTCGGCGTCCATCCCGATGCCCTGGCTGGGCTGTCTGACAACGTGAACCTAGCACGAGACCAGCTATTCCCCCTCGAGTAGACATGATACTACTCGGTGCAGGCATAACTGTGACACTCTCGACCATGAGGGGCCTACTGCCTTGCGGTGAGCCCATGAAGTCCTCAAGGTCATCATCGTCTTCTTCCTCTTCCTCGTCATCATCATCAACGTAGTCATAGTCCATCGTAGGAGGTATGTCAGTGACCGTAGTCTTGTCCATTCCTCCACAGTATCGGCATACCGCACTGGTTCCTGACATGACCACTAGTCTGTGCACCAACTCACTACGACAGATCACCTCGATGACCACATGAATGACAGAAATAGGAAAGCCTTGGTGGACGAGTCGCCATGCTGGTAACACAACAAGTATACCCACTACTCTGAGGTCGCCCCATTCCTAAGCTAGTATCATTCGCTGCTCATAAGGCAGCCACAGGGATCAGATGAGATCGTTTTACTATAACGGTGACTCCTGATCGCAGTGTCACCACCATCACCAATTATTCTCGATTCACATCCATATCGTGCAGATTCCCAAGATGATCTATTTTATTTAAGGGCGCGCGCTTTTTACCATGCGCTGAATCATTTAACCACCATTGACAACCAAAATCTGAGTGATCGTCATGAAACTGCTGTACATGATGACAGGTCGTCTACTACGTCGGCAGCAGCAGCAATAATGAAAATAACAGTGAAAATACGGAAACGATGAAAAAGTCTCTGAAACTGTTGGAAAATTTTAGGAGGCGACTTCATCTCCGACCACCACGAAAGCCGCCTCGGAAACTCCCATTGCCACCGCCCCTGACCGAGGCAATGCTAATAGCTGCCATGTCATAGAGGGACTGCGGAGGGGTCTAAAACAACATCGATGATGGACAGTACTGGTGATGATCCTTTTGACCTGTTTCACGTCTTCCATGCACTTCACGATATCCTTGGCCATTCTAACCCTATCTGGGGTGTGCGTGTCGTTCGTTATGAAGGTTAGGGAGTTACCCACAGCACCGGCCCTTCCTGTACGGCCGATTCGATGGACATAGTCTTCAACGGTCCTAAAGGGTCCAAGCAGTGAGCCATGACCAACACCACGAGAGGTCACTTAGGCATATCGTAGTTGACCACCCATTCAACGTTCTTTATGTCCAACCCACGCTGAGCAACATCAGTCGCGACCAATACATTACAGCGGCCTACAGCAGTGACAACATCAACGACAGGCCGCAAGAGATTGTTTACCAGTTTTGAAGTCGTTGAGTATTCTGTCCCTTTCACGTTGCTCCTTATCCCCATGGATTGACGCCGCGTTGAAATTGTTGTACCTAGCAACAGAGCCGTCCGCCCCATACCCCAGTGTTAAAAATATGCATATGGATGCCAACTACGGTGTTGAAAATTCTGAGAATTTTCTCCGGGATAATTCTTGTTGGTTTCCTACCCAAAATCATGTATAAACTTCTATAATCAGTGCAACATTTCCCAAGCTCGGCTGAGGAAAGTGAGCATATATTCCAACACTGCTATGCCCTTCACCTCATTTCTCTGGTCAATGCATCCGCACCCTTCTTCGTCTCAGTGAAGACTATAATACGACTACCCTTAGGGTATCTACCAGTGTAATACGCCAACCTCCATCACAACAGCCACAGTACGTCTCCTTGAGCCAGTCGAAGAACATCTGTCTCTTGTCCATTTCTGATACCACCTCGACTCGCTGTTTCACATCAGGGTTAGCCTGATCACCATACGGCCATCGAAACCATTCACATCCATACACCTGCTCACCTGCAGCTGAGTGTTGCCAACAGTAAGTCTAATCGGCTCCTCGCGGCAAAAGTCTCTCGCCATAGACTGGACCTGATGACGCTGCTGTGTTAGAGCTAGACCAGACGGGCAGGCGACTACCTCCTTCGGCCAAGTAGCGCTCCACATGGTGGTCTGCCTGTCCGGCCTGATCTGGCTCACTATACGTCTGATCTGGGGTTCGAATCCCATGTCCAGCATCCTGTCCGCCTCATCCAACACCAGATACCTGACGTGTAGGTACAAAGGCGGACAGTGAAAGTCAACCTACGTGACTCTCTTAAGGTTGGTCACGCCTGTCTCGAGGAAATCGAGAAGTCGTCCTGAAGGCATAGCAGACTACTTCCGAGTGCGGGAAAATATGGATGTAGTCGGCTACCGTTGTTGATAACAATATGAAAATTTGGAGGAATTTCTCAGTGATTTCTGTACACTTCTACCCAAATTCTTATATAAATTTCTATAAGTAGTGTAGAAACTCTTGAACTCAGCTGAGGAAAACGAACATATATTCCTCCAACACTGCTACTCCGTAATAAGAAGACGACCCACCTGGAGTAGCGATGCAGATCTCAACGCCGCGACGGAGATCATTAGCCTGGTTATAGCGCGGCACTCCACCAAAGATAGCCGTGTTCATCAAACCAGCCATTTTGCCGAACCTGATAGCAGCGACTCTTCCAAAAAGGCCAACAGGCTAAACACCCCCGCACCTTGTAGCCTCAGCCTGGACCTGCATGGCCAGCTCTCTCGTTGGCACCAGCACGAGCACTACAGGACCATCACCATGCTTCAACGGCGCTTGGGCGTTCACGTGTATCTGTAGACGACTACCCTCAACAGAGACCCGAGCCAGGACGAGACTCACAATAGCCGGTAGCATAAAGGCAACCGTCTTGCCGCTGCCTGTCTGCGCTACACCAACCTGAAGGGCAACGAAGTCGATCGGTCTCGTCAAGTATAGGATGGGGCTGACCATGTCCCTGCCAGAGAGGGCCACCGGCCAGCCGATCTTCTGGATGTTGGTGGGCTCAGTGTAGCCTGCCTTTTCGAACTCCTTCATCAGCACCTCGGGGAACTGGCCCTGCTCGAACGTTCTAATTGGCTTGGGGATAGGAGGCGTGCCTTGGACCTGAACATAGCAGCACTATGAAGACTCCTCAATAGCACCCTCCGAGCTCTCACCGTGATGTCAGCCTCGGCCAGGAAGGCAGCACAGTCCTCATCAGTGAACGCTGCTACATCCGGATGCTCCTTGTAAAAATTCTTAGTGAATGGCGTCAACGCCTCACCCTGAATGACCAGTACAAAGACTACTGTTAGAGAAAGGGACCTACCTGCCAGTTTATAGGCTGTAGGCCACTACCAGCAAATGCCTCGGTGTCACTAACACCATTTCCACGAGAGTAAGCTGGGGAGCAAACAGTCATAGCATCTCGAGGGGCTACTCCTACCTCCACCACGTCCCCTGTCACGCCTGTCGAATTCATAAGCATCAGAGGATCTACTCTCAGCACCATCGAATCTACTCGTGCTACGCGAATCTGATCTCGCGTTGCTGAACCAGTCGTCCTGGCCAGCGGTCTCGTTACGGGAAGGGACCTTAGGGGTCTGAGAGACGAGGCTTGGAAGGTTGAGCAGTGGTACCTACCGGTGGTGGTGGAGGAGGAGGACGCTTCATAGTGACCGTGGCAGCAGCAGAGGTGCAGGAACGTAGCTGAGCCCCGAAGGTTGAGGCGATACGACCAAGAACAGCAGGGGCCCATGGGGTACTCAATCGCAGGGTAGATATCATCTTTACTAGGAGGTGTGAGCTGAATAGAAACAAAACCAATGAGGCTAACAAGAAGTACAGTACCAAGAATGCACAAGCCATAACACAACACATGGCCATCTCGATAAGTATACCAGACCCTTCAGTCAGGAGCAGGGCCGTCACACTCAATGACAATATGTTGGCCATTCTCAGGGCACTCCACCGGGATGCCCAGTCTGAACTCGATCAACTCTTGCAATGCCTTCATCCTCTTATACTCAGAGTGCAATAGTATCACCCTCTTAGCTGGCCTTAGACCTGCAATCATCTGACAAGCGCCATAGGAGTCTGTATGGTATGTCATTGGTATGTAGTACGGCTTGCATTGTATACTAACTTTACGCCCGTCACCAAAGTTGACCACAGGAGACCACTTAGACCGCTTCTTAGGGGGCTTGCCACCTTCGTTCTTCCTTCTCTTCTCAGCTTGAGAGGCCACCATGATGAGCTCATTACCCACAGTTCCCTTACGACAGTACCCTGTCAAGACGAACTGCGCATGAGGGTTGCCACTTTCCCTATTGAAAAAGGCCAGACTTGAACCACTCTCCATCATCGCTGCGCCACAAAATACAACACTAATACAATTGGGTAAAAACACGAAGTTCTCGTCGATGAGCTCAACCCGAGCAGCAGTGGTGACAGCAGCCACCGCGCCCATTACACTCGTGTCACCCTCAGCAAGGCCCAAGCTGAGGCGTCGGTAATACTCATTGCACATATACGTGACCGGACTAAGGGTATAAAAGTGTATATCCGGCACTGAAGGCAGGCCAAAGTTATCGTCCAAACGTTTATTCTTCTGATTGAAATCGTCGGGGAGATGGTATGTCTTGGACATGGCCCCAGCCCGAGTAGACAGAGACTCCAGCAGGTCCTTATTAAGGACTTCCCGCTTGTAGTAGGCCAATAGCATCTGAGCCATCTCTGACACTCTGCTAGTTGCGAACACTGGCATGACCGTAATCAACGGTGGCACATCTGCCGAGCCCATGTAGTCACGAAGGCGCTCTCGACCACATACAATGTTGCATAGACGTGCCTCTTTAGAGCGGCTGTTCATGTGAACTGAACTCCCAAAAGTAGCTTCAGAAATAACAACATCAATGGTCTTCCCTGTCAATGGTAACTGCCTCGTCAGCAAGTTGGCTGCAGGCATTGTGAATTCAGCTTGGGTGCTAAAGTCGCCAGTATAGAACAGTGTCAAGCCTTCGTACTCTATCATGAACATGAGAGCCCCCACCACATGCCCTGCAGGGTAAGCCGTCACCACCGCGCCGCAGGTCAGCGTTCGCTGAGACCCCGGGGCCATGACCAGCGCCTTCTCGAAGCAAGATTCGATGTGGCAGGGATAATACGGCGGAGGACTCTGTTCCTTAGCATAGTCCCTCAACAGCATTGGCGCCGTCAACTTGGTCATCAACGACATGACAATCTCGGGCGATCTCCGCTGGCCGCTCATTAGGACCTCAGTGAGGTAGGGAAGAGCACCAGTATGGTCGAGATGGAAATGGGTAACGAGTACCGCGTCAAGCGGCAACATACCAGTCTTACTGTTGTCAGGCCACAGACGATCCAGCATGGGGACGCGGTGTCGGTGCTTAGCCAAAGAGTGGCGAATAACAGACCGTAGCAGTTGCTGTGGGGTGGTTGCCGAGGAGTCTCCCACACTGTCAAGGTCATCATCATCAGCATGCTCTGCCACAACACTATGCTGCTTTTCATCCCCATGATGAGCAGGGTCACCACAAGACACGTTGGCTCCACAGTCGAGGAGGATACGCACCCGAGGCTTGCAAGAGGAGGCCGGTGGGACGAAGGTTACCAGTACGCATGATCGACCCACGCTTCTACCAGCACCTAGGACGTCGACCTCGATGCGCCCACGAGAGCAGGCTGCTGGAGGAGGCTTATTACTCATGTTGATGGGGGAACATTTTCCTGCAACAAGACTTACTGTATTCTAAACAGTTAGTTTAGCAGACTAAACTAACGCAACGTGAAGGTGACAAACAAGAACAATGCTATTGTAACATGAACAATGAACATGAACAACGATACAACCAGCGGAGGTGATCATCAGCGCAGAGCCGCAAACTGCAGCAAACGAGAGACAGCTAATTTCGGCGCGGCCTAAATCCTGTTGGGCTCGGCGAGCTGAGTCGACGAAAAAGCCAGCCGATACTGTGGAGAAGTTGCGGTCAAGCTCGACCTCCGTCGGATCTTAGCATCGTCCATATGCCCGTAACTGACATTCAATATCCTCCTCCACAACCGGTCTACCTTCCTATCTCGACACGATCGCCATCGTCCCCGCTGAGAATGATAGTCATAGTTTAGAAACACGGAGAATCCGATCGAGCTGCACAGTGGGGATAGGCCCACTTCTTCAACTCAACAACTGGGCTCCCGTAGAAACAACGAACACGCTCTTAAGAGAAACAACGCAGTTTGTAAGGAATTTCCCCACATCACTCAATGATAGTAGTCTCCTCAATGACAACATCACCAGGGATGACCTCCTCTTCCTCCTCCACAACAACAACCTACAACAATACGCAAGCATGATCACACTCAAAACCGCAGCATCCCTACATCTGGCTGCTCATAAACGTCTTCAGCAACGAAAGTCTCAACGCTTGTCTCGGGCACTTGGTGGACCACACGTATTGTCTGAGGCGAACTTTCTGATAGAAAAACAGCAACTCAGCCAAGTTTACTTCTCCAGGCTGTCCACCATCATCGGTGATGATGGTTTCTTCCTTGACAACTTCAGTTGGAAGGCCCTCCTCAATGACTGTCGTTTCCTCTACAACATCGGGGGTCTCCACCACTACCTGTAGGAGATTTCCACGAGAAGTCCTAGAACTGACAGGAAGTGGTCTACCTCTGTCTCGTAGGGAATATAATAAGACATAACTAATGGATGGTTACAAAAAAAAACTAAGGTGACCAGGACTGACGATGGTCCCAGGGGGCCCGGCGACCACTCGAAACCGTACCAGAATGAAACACAGTACTGCCAACAGACACTGTGGGGGAAGAAATGTTAGCAATGAGAACAAGGTCAAGTACAAACACGCAATCAAGGTCGATAGATATTGTGAGTGTATTGGGACCCAGCAGGACCACTAGGATACGCCTGATACTGCTGCTGCTGCTGGGGCTGTTGGCCATACACTGGCTGAGCATACACCGGCGGACCACTATAGGAAACAGCACTGGGGACTCCACCATAAGGCTGCTGCTGCTGTTGCTGTATGGGTTGGGCATAGACCGGTTGAGCATAGACAGGCTGAGCGTATGCATGTTGGACAGGCTGTGCATACACTGCTTGCTGTGGTGGTGGTGCCGCTGTGTAACCTGACTGCTGGTAAGGTGGCTGTTGATAAACCGGCTGTTGATAAGGAGGTTGCTGGTAAGACGGCTGCTGATAGGACGGTTGTTGATAAGGCGGCTGCTGGTAGGTAGGCTGCTGGTAAGTAGGCTGCTGGTAGGTAGGCTGTTGATATGTAGCCTGTTGATATGGTGGCTGCTGTTGGTATTGTGGCTGCTGTTGGTATGGTAGCTGTTGAGGAGAGTATTGTGGTTGACCATAAGGCTGTTTAGGGTAGCCCTCAACAGCTGAAGGCTGACCTTGGACCACCTGGCCAGCAGGCGTTGGAGGGCCTGCCACCATCGGCTGCATAGGAGCAGCAGCCTGCTGAGCGTACATCGGTGCCTGTGCTTGCTGTGGTACCATTGGTGGTGCAGAAGGAGCGAAGGCCTGCTCGTCCTTGCCCTGTGTAGACATGCCTTGCCCACCAACTCCTGGAGGTGCTGATGAAGCCACCGCGGCCTGCTGGAACCCCATCTGAGCTCCTTGACCCGCCACAGAAGGGACCGGCGATGGGTCGGGACTAGGCTGCACCTGGACTCCTTGTGAACTGGCCACCGTGGCGGATCCACTATGTGGTAACGTGCTGGCAACAGCTTCGTGGTGGTCCGAAGGCATCACGGTCGCTTGCTGGACATTGCCAGCAGGTGGATGAGCCACCGGTTGTTGACTAGTAGTGGCCGAGCCTGGCTGACTCCATGCCGTTATCGTGACCAGAGGAGCCGAGGTATCTTGGCCCGATCCCGTGGTCTCACTGGCTTGCCCGACAGCAGGCACGGAAGGTGTCTGGTTGGTCACTGGATAGCTCACCGTGACCAGAGGGGCTGAACCTTCGTTGGCTGATGCTAAGTGCTGGCCGGCTTGCGCTGGTACCTACACATGAACACCGACTGGACACTTCACAGCTCACGACAGGGAACAATCCATATGAATAAACATCAGTCCCCTTACCCCGCGCCTACCTGGGGATGGTAGACGTATGGCGTACTCTGAAGTGGGGGTGCGCTGCCCGTGGGATAGCTGCTACTAGCTTCCATGATAAAAACGAATAATAACAGAGTTAACACTGTCAGACTCAGTGATGTCCGGTCCGTGGCGAGATGGAACTGATGAGGCTCCGATGACCCCTACATCCAACGACCAGTGCCTCCTCCCATAATCCTTCGGGGACGCCGTGAACAATGACCAATATGCAAATGATGCGGATCCGAGCAATCTTCGATAATTTCGTGGCGCGTGACGCATGCGCGCGTGTCATCAGTCATCGGTCTTTTGAACTTGCTCCAACACACAACGAAGCCGACATCGCCATTGATGTAAACAGGCGGCAGGTCGGTCGACTTCAGTTGGTTTGACAATGAAGAAGCGCCGCTCTCGTGGTCTATGGTCGTGGTGGTCCCCGAGGATGACCATACTGCCGTTGATGATCCTGCTCGGTGTGGTGCTGATGGTCATGTCGTACAGACGATCATCAATCCACCATCGGTTACCCCAGAGGGATGCCACACAACTCGAGTTGAGAGGAGGGGGAGCGGTCAGCGATGGTGTGGGGGCCAACACCGTAGCCCCTCCCCGTCCTTCTGCTCTTCAGCCCAGCGAGACGTCTCCACTGGGACATGTCCGAAGACCTGTCCTCAACAATACCTGGCCAGTAATGGCCATTATGTTTGCTGTAATCGAGGTAGATGCAGTAAAGCGATTACGGACTGTCCGCCCCCGTATGGTACCTGCCTATACTGTAATCCCTGCAGCCCTACACAGAGGAGCTGATCGCCTCCTCTAGGTACTGTGGACGTAACCAAAACAGGGGCACCACCTCCAGCCACGCCGGTACCACAGTGAGTCCTACTGTGACCATCACTCCCCATCAGAAGCCCATGGTCTCGTCGGGAAGTTGCGGTATGCCGACTTCAGCTCGTGTCGGTGGTTCTACCAACATCGGCAACGACATGAGCGCCTATTGGCATGTACCACGGCAAGAACTACTCCCAGATCTCCCACTCGTCCTAGGCCTTAGGTGTTGCTGTGGTCACCGCTCGACCCTTCCACGCGCAAGCCGCCATGGGAGGGTCTACATTCACAGGCTACCTCCCCACCCAGTGGCATCCACCTCATGGATGGCACGGCGATGCTGAGTACCACGGCCTTCAGTGAATCCTATCAATTGGTTGTCATTAGGAAGGCGGCGGCCGCATGCCACTGTAGTCGTCCCCAATACGCCCACGAATGTCTGGGTGCATGGACGGAATCCCGAGGCCTCATACGAGATTTCGTACGGCTATCGAGGGCCAGTTGCTGCCCACCTCAAGCCTCAGATGAACAATAGTCTCCATCGAGCTGGTCTGGCACAACGAGCATTGGCTGACACCCTACCCGATGAGGTATTCGTCCATCAGCGATGTGCTTGGGAGACTCTACTACTGCATGGTAATGACCCCAACGTCACTAATCCACTCCTTACCACACCTTGTCCAAATCACCACCGTAGGCCTGTGAATGTTTGACCCCTCCCCCATCTTGTTCTGAATATGCTTATGGCTCTATCAGGGATGTACGGCCCGATGTCCTTCTCGGTCTTTCGAGAGGCGGTTAAGACTACAACCACCAGGGTGACCTTCATAGAAGGCAAGGCCGGAGACTCGTGGCTTTGCGATAAGGTGCTGATGTCCCTACGTCCTGGCTTGTACCTGACTCTAGTCAGATCCGTGAGAGTATTCAAGCCTTCATCCGCATGGACCATCCCAGCGTGTCATTCAGAGTACTACTTGGTGACACCGAGCCGGCTTCGATATCGATGGACTTCGCCAGACTGGTGCTCTTCCTTGAAATCTCAGGCTGCCTATGATACCCTACAGGTCTATGCCCCCATCTTAGTCCGCGGCCCATCGTCTTTCAATCTCTGGGCTGCCCTGGCCAACCATGGTCAGGTAATTTATAATGGTCATCCATCCGGGACCTCCATCTCAGGTGTATTCTCCTCCAAATCCCCCTACGTGGGGATGGACAACAACAGAGCTAGGCAGCGACTGGCACTGGGTCACCAGCGCTAGAGTCCTCACACGAGGCGTCGCCAAAAAGGAAGTAGGAGGCAAGTCACCCTGGCTGTCCCTCCGCAGGCTTCCTGTTGTAGCTCAAGTTGAAACGCCCTCTTGAGAAGAAGCCTCGAAAGGAAGGCGAGCCAATCTGGACTGATCTGTTCTTAGAGAGGGCTATTCCATGGCTGAATGAGGCCCCGATGTGGTTCCACCATGTGCCACCATGAGACCTCAACCCTTATTAGCTCTCCCCAACATGTGCATCGTTGAGTCACTAGTGTCACCATCCCCCAGGCGGAAGATGCTTGCCTGACGGTCGCCAGCCTTGCTGAGTTATTCCGTCTTCCTGTGGATTTTACGCAGTTTTTCGGTTCCATTTGTTCAGCTCACGGAATTGCTCTGGGCATTTATCAATTTGTTCTGGGTTATATTTATTTGGTTTTGGTTTTCACTAACTAGTTCGTGAAATGGTGTAGTGTGAATAGCAGCTACCATCGCCATGGGCAACCTCGCCAGGCCGGGGTTGTCGAACACAGCAGCTGTAACGAACCTCCACTGTTCTTGACTGTTTATATGCTCAACAATGGATCTGCCTCGCCACTGTCAATGACGTAAACCAACCTCCATAGCCCCAACAAACTCTATAAGAGAGTATTTTCCCGAATATCCTATGGCGAAATGATATCATGGTATTGCCCAATACCTCTCGGCTCTGCCCGGCTCACACTTACGTCACACCCTCGAGCACGGCAACAAAGTCGTGGCAAGAATGGCGACTCCCCAGCACTGAGGGGTAGGTTCGAAGGCCGTCGCCGCCTAATATGGTCGGTGGTGTTGATGTCCGGCGCCTCCTGTCGTTCCCTTGTGTCAACACGACCCGACATTAGCTGGAGAGATGCGACCCAAACGTACACTGAGACCTTGAGCCAAGATGGCTACGGACTTACGAGCTAGTAACGCTCAATGCTCAAGATCAATAGTACGGAATGTATCCTATGCTCACACTTGTACGCGAGCACAAGGAGAAAGTCTGTACGCATGCACAAAAAGGTGACGCTCTCTGCCGCACGGACTGGTCGAGCATCAATATACGCCCCCCTGATCAGTCAGGCTATAAGACAGAGAATAAAGAAAATACGAGTTGAATAAGACATCGATAACTACTCACAAGTCGTCATCCGAAACTAAGGTCTCCCACGGGAAAGCAGCAGCGATGTTTGCATGACTGATCACCGTTTCATGCTCACTTCGAAGAAACCTTACTTTATATCGACGAACAACCCCATCACGCGCCGGATAAGCTTCCAGAATACGGGCCGGCACGATAGATTTAGCGGCTTGAACAAATACAGGTGCACCAACTTCGAAAACTTTCCACTGACCGTTAGAGTGATACTGAGCGTTACTACGCTCCTTTAACCGCCGGAAGTGGTAATCGAGGAACACCCTACGTACAGCTGCAACCCGACGAGGAGCAGTATCGGGTCCACGAGAAGGAAGGACTGCAGCAGAAGGACTGATATTTACAGCCGCTGCGCCCACCGGATCGGGTACGGCCGGAATAACTTCGTCTGCTTCAACAATAGGAGTTGGCAATGAAGAGGTGGACGTAGACCGAGTGTACCCCTGGACCAGAGAGTCAGGAGTTATGACCCCATCCTCACAATCGATAGTCAGAGGACGGGTGTTGAGCAGCAAAGATACCTCGAGCAGGAGCAGACGTAACGAACGAACATCCTGCACACTCCGGGGGTCAAACTCCCGGAGCATACGACGGGTATAGGGTATCAACAACATCGGTCTGAGAATAGTCCTTACAACGCCATGCAGTCTTTCATAATAAGACCCTTCCCACGGAGCAACGGCAGCGTTCAACCAAGAGAGAATATTGTGACCCTTAAGGAACTGATTCCATTGGACACTCTTGAAGTAGGATGCTCTATCACTGAGGACCAACCGGGGGGTCCCCCATAACATCATAAACTCTTGGAACGCCATGATAAGACCCGTAGTAGATTCCGTGGGAGTGTAAATAAGAGTCATATGGCGCGTAGCCACACAACAGAAGCTCACTACTTTAACACCCTCAATAGTGACATAATCGATTCCAATGGCCTCGTAAGGCCGATACGAAGGAGATGTTAGAAGAGTACGAATATCGAACATCGGTCCCCCAACCGGTAATGTCCATCTAGCCTTACGGGCGAAACGAATACATAAAGCGCACTGTTTTCTACAAATCTGTCTGGCTGCTATAGTGACACGGGTACTACAATACCCAGTGAGCAGCTGAGACCGCGAATACGAAGGAGAGCAATGGTCGTTAGAACGATGGATGTCTCTGAGGAGAACATCCCGCATATACGATGAAACATAAGGTTTATACTCAATAATCCCCGTTGGTCCTGCGGAACGAAGGTGAACAACATCATGAATACGGAAGTAAGGCCCTGTTCCCCGACCTACATCACTAGAGGGGGGTAAACTGGGACAAGATTGTTGGTCACTACGAATGACAACTAACAGATCCGAACGATCCCATACAGTAGGATAATCCGTGAAAGTGTCAGCATGGGGGTCACGGGCAAGAGTATTCCATGTTCGAAGACACCAACGCATAACCGCTACCAAATAGAACATATCTCCCGCCCCCCAGCTGCATTCTTTTAGACGACGAACCAGTGGATAACCCTGGGATACACTCGGCTCAGCTGACGAGTCTCTGGTTAGGCAACACTTATCAATGAATGCAGTTGACTGTAGCTCAGGAACGATAAAGGGAAAACATTCCTCCACTAGATGTACCGCCGAGTTATATCCCGCGTGGGAGTCTGAGGTTGGTAGTGGATGCCCGGGGCAACCCTCACAACACCAATCAGTATCGGCGTCGCGCTCGCCCTCGGCGTGCATCTCCTCGGCCGTTTCGAAGAGACCTTTCTTCTTGCTTCCAACCAAAGCCTGATCTTCTACCACGACCGCTTGCAGCAAAGTATGTATAGTTGCCGAAGTCCCCGGGATAGCTGCTTCCAACACTCTGCTCAACCCATCCGCTCTCGTGTTAGCTACTCCTGGGAGATGACGGATCTCATATGGGACCACAGCCTTAATGGCCTGCAGCTGAGAACCAAGAGCCCCGACCAACCGTATAATGGCGTCTCTCTCGACTGCCGTCACCTTCAACGTAGATGCAGTAGTCTGGCACCAGCGGACAGACGCAGCATTATCACATTCGATTGTCAGGTTCAACCATTGTTCTAATGGCTTGCAGGACTGGTATTGGGTTGACTGCAGTTGTTGGAGTATCCGAGCGACACTGGCGACCCCACGGAAGAGACTGATCAGCTCTCGTCGATTAGAGTGGTATCTAGCTTGACGAGGAGACCATATCCAGCTGTCGGTCATCAGTGGCACCTCTTCTCCCGATGGGAGGGCCAGATAAACGTAATAACCACCACCCGAGCCACTAGAATCAGTTTGCAGAATCAAGCATCTCGGCTCCGATGATGAAAGTATTGGTATCCCGTGATGACATGGATGCTCAAGCCCTTCACTGATGTAGACTAGCATCTGTTCACGGATACGCCGCCAGCACTCTCGCTGTCTCGGAGTAAGATCCTCGTCATTCAGCATAGTCGACCAGGACGTCGTTCGCGGTATACGTCCGAAGAGTCTTCGAGCTGCGTCACACAACGGCTTGACGTCAGCATGGAGCCCTGCCTTATCCATCCCCAGAGCACCAGCAATACGGTAAACGGCTTGGCGAGACCAGCAGTCCGCTTCTAACAGTTTCTTAGCCTTCTCTAGTCCAGACCGTCGATTGCAGTCAATCACCAGCCCCTTCTGGTCGTAAGAAAGCAAGACGCCAAGCACTGGCATAGACTCTCGAACATAAGGTTGCAGAGAGGCCCCCTGGGATTGTACGGACTGATGGACGAGTATAGCAAATTTCAAGACAGAGATTGCAAATCCACACAGGGATAGGTAAGATAATAATATCGATAGCAAGAATACAATCTTACAAGCATCTTCCATTGAGAAGTGTAACAACAGATCATCAACAAAGTGTGCTATACCACTCGCCACCATATCGCATAACGTTGACGTACGGAATGACTGGATTTGTCGTCCGAGTGAACATTCGAGGGATTCCGGACCAAACAGGCATCCAAAGCATACTCGATGTGCTAGGTATCGTTTACCGTTGCCACAGTGCAAGGCAAATCCCGGTAAACAATTCTCATGGTCATAGGTACCACCATTCTGCGGATCGGTTGATCCGGACTGAGAAGGTTTGAAAGAACTGCACAGACGCAACATATAGAAGGCACTATGCACATCTGCAGGCACGACCACGGGAGAACATGTTACCCGAAGAGCTGCTAACATAGTAACTATCGGTAATGTGCATGTACTCGAAGGCGGCAAGCTTTCATTGGTTTCTCTCAAATCACATACGAGACGACCTTTGCTCGCTGTTCGAGTCGTTGCCCCATTATCCGGACCTCCCACCATAAACACTTCGCCTTCAGCATAGCCGTAAGGTACATTCTCAGTTGGCTTCCATAAGCCACGACTGACGTATCCCTCGATAAGCTCATCATGCAGCACCCGCGCTTCGGGACAGAGCTTCTCGTGAAGACGATGGGCGTAATGCCGGATATGTAGAGGTTTGCTCAACGATGGGCAGCAGATAGACCATGTGTAGCGTTGTCCTACAGGAAACGGAGTCTCCTCCTCCGGCAGCTTGCGTAGCCCAGTCGCATACCCTCGGTCATCGGGCCCGAACGGGACGACATTACATAGGCTTTTGCATAACTCATCCAGAGGACGAACAGCACTCGACGGACATGGTAGGTTGACAAACGAGTCTGCTGATGGTTGGGTCGATCTAAGGTCGGGTAATGGCATGGGCTCGACGCATCGCAGATAATCGTTAACGTAAGAACATATCGTTGGTTCTGTACGTGACATCTGAGCATCGAATATACAGACGCCTGACAAGAATACCCTTTCGCCACCATCTATAACAAGGTGGAAGGACCGTTGTAGATCACGCCCCAAGAGGATAGAAGGTACATGTGAGCTGCCTACACTGCTCTGGATAGGTAGAATACGAACCTCACACGACTGAGGGGGAGATACGACTTCCCCACTCGGGTCCTTCAGAACTAACTGTCCACAGAGCACCTCTGACACTCGGACGTGTTCTCCATTGGCGACCTTGACGGTAACTGGGCTTGCTTCACGAGGAGCAAGCTTCATACATTCTCCATCTACTCTAGAGATATAAGAGAAACCAGCACCAGAGTCGACAATGAGTTGTACATTATGATTATCGAAAGATCCGGATAATACGATCTCCGGTAATGGCCCTGAAGAGCCATAGTTCACACAATCAGTTTCAGATTCAGTAAGTGGACCAACTGTGGGGGGAGTCACAGTAATATTAGACACAGCGCCCAGTAAAGGTCTATCGGAATGTACACGGTTTTCGGAATCTGATGACGATATTGAATACTCACATGCACAAAGGAGTGACGGATCGTCAATGATATTAGGGTTGGTACCCGAATCGAGGCAAGTATTACGGCTTGCACTTAAATTAACGGTATGAGGGGTTTTATCAACATGCAAAGAAGAGTTAAGTGGTACATAAACGTAGTCACATGGATCAGTAAGTCCACCGTGAACGTTGGTAGTGTCGCAGGCCCCATCACCCCCTCTCGGAGATAGAGCCTCAATTAGTTTCCCGACTTCATAACTGGCCTACCACGAGTACTCCCCGGGACGAATGCTCGGATCTTCAGGCCCTGAGACGTCCCCTCGGAGCTCGCGGGAACACCGTTGTGGATCAGTTTCGAGGCCTCGGCCTTGTTGTCAAAGGTAGCGAACCCGTACCGGTGCCCACGTTTATGGACATGAGCACGCACTTCCTTAGCACCGAGATCACTGAAGGTCTTGCGGATCGACTCTGGGGAGATCGCCTTATCAGTGCGGAAGTACACGACCGATCCCTCCGGGAAATTGGATGCCCACTCAGTAATGGTAGGTCCACGCCGTAGAGATCCTTGGTTATCCGACACTTGTCGAATCCGATCTGGTGACGCTTTAGGTTGCAGGTGATGGGTCACCTCCGCAACTTTACAAACCGACCGTACCATTTGACATAGATCAACCGCTGGTGATAACCTTGGGGCAGGAGCCGTGTTGTGAACCCGGACGTAATCCTCCCATATAGGCGCCCCTTCTTTCGGGACTTCTCTCAGGATGCGATTAACAACTCCCTCAAGAAGGTCAGAAGGTAGTTTAGCGAGGAAACTGGCAACAAGGTAACGCGACTCACTGAACCCAGCTGAATACACCGCCATCCACATGTTCGTGATAATAGTGACATGGTGGATGAAGTCGTCAACATACTGATAACCCTTAAACCTCAGCTCTCGGAGACGGCGGGCTACCTCAGTGCGCATTGCTACCCGGTCCCCGAAGACCTGATTGAGTATATCGCTCATCTCCCGCCAACGATACTTGGTCTGGATCGCTACGTCCATCGCCCTCTCGTACACTTCAGCCACATTCTCGAGACTCTGCAGATACTTCGTGACCAAGATCGTCTCTGGCACGGTGGCAGTGAAGATCCCCTGATCATCGAGAGTGCCAAGACCCGCCTCATGAAAGATGATGCCGGCCATCTCGTTGTGCTCTCGGAACCGAAATTTATCCTTCAATTTTGGTAGGAAGATCTTAGCCGTGATTGCATTAGGATTCTTCAGTCTAGACGGTGACGGGTTGGACGTATTGACCAGTGGAGTAGCGAGATCATCCTCCTCGCCTGTCGGGCTGGCGTCAATAGATGGCTCAGGACTACGGGCTTTCACCAAGGCCTCATCATAGGCTCGCTCAGCAAGTGTAACCTTGGCACAAGCGTCGGCATAGTGGTCCTCGAGCTCTTCCTCCTCAACCAAGAGTGCATGTAGCTCAGGGTCCTCCTCACCGACTCCCTCGGCCTCGCGATCTCGAATGACTTGACGTTGGGCTGCTAGGCGGTTGGCCAAGCGTGTTCTGGCAGCTCTCGCCGTTGTACGGGACGACTTGAGACTTGGAAGGCTTAGAGATCCTGCCGCTGTCGCCACTATGTTGATGTCCGGCGCCTCCTGTCGTTCCCTTGTGTCAACACGACCCGACATTAGCTGGAGAGATGCGACCCAAACGTACACTGAGACCTTGAGCCAAGATGGCTACGGACTTACGAGCTAGTAACGCTCAATGCTCAAGATCAATAGTACGGAATGTATCCTATGCTCACACTTGTACGCGAGCACAAGGAGAAAGTCTGTACGCATGCACAAAAAGGTGACGCTCTCTGCCGCACGGACTGGTCGAGCATCAATAGTGGCCCACCCATCCGATGCCGGCCTTATCAGTAGTATGACCATACCGAGATGTCGCATGCAAAGGCGTTACTGGCCACTTTCCTCTCGGTTTTCTTCCACGTAGCCTCCCACAGAGTGCTACACACTAGCGAATACGCAGGAAACTGCAACGACTGCAGCCCACCTTGTAAAGTACGGCTTTTTACAGTAGTTCAGCCCATCCGGACTTTTCGTGTTTTTAATCTCCAGACGTGTTATTTTGACAAGCTCTTTGTTGTTCTTTGGCCCCCTCACTCGACACAACAGTGGTCAGTTCAACAACGTAAGGAACATCGTCAAGGAAATAATAACGAAATCATGTATTTCACCACCAACAACAACAGCAACCATGAAGTTAGAGTGACCATGACGTACTTGTAAAAACTGAAAAACGGCCAAGTCGCGGCGGCACAGCAGCGAGCGGGAGAATGCAAGACAAAACCAAAAAGGTGTGATGATATCCGACAGTGAACTCACTTGGTTCAGACTAAATGATGCCGATATTGGCAGACCTCAGGCTGAAGATATATAGTGTATAACTTCCTCATTGAAGAGGTCAACAACTTGTAAAACATAGTGACAGTGCTCATAAGGAAAGACAGGAACCAAGACTGACTCTGCTCCTACGACCAGGGTTGGGCCTAGAATGTTGGCTAGGGCGGCATGTTGCCTATTGCAACAGTGGGGAAGCGTCCTCAGGGGAGACGATCACCACTGATGCTGATACCGCCACTGAGGCCACACCACAAGTATCATCCCCCTTGTTACACGCTTGATTATGACAGCAGGAACTCTGAGCCAACAACAACAGCAACAAAGAATGCTCAAGGCAAGCACACATTGCCTACCTGGAGGGCGTTGAAGTCGACATCCTCAGCTCGCACTTCTAGCTGGAAAGTCGTATGGCTGATACCCATGTCGTTGGCAACCTTGGTGGCCTCGCTCAGTACTCGACCTGACAATGACAAAAGAGTTTCTAAACAGCGCCGCCACCGGTGACTCACTGCAGCTCGAGCACCCGGAGACGACTATGTGAGCCGTACAGATACTACCCGTCGAACCGACACTCCAAACGTGGATATCATGGACCTGAGCAGCAAAGATACAAAACATGCCCGATGAAGGCCATTACGCATTGGACGTGCTCCACGTGTCTGAGCTTGGTCTGCAGTAGGTCTACATCAATACCGTCCGGCACCCTCAGCATCAGGATTAGCACTGACTGCTTTACTGTTTCTGAGATGGATGACAGCATGACCATCTTCTAGGGGCACAGCGAGGCTCACTGGAGGTGGTGAACATGACCAGGCCCGAGAAGAGGATGGTACACGCTGGGTCAGCATAGCTAAGGAGGAAGGGCTAAACGAAGGGCATGGCAGTCGTCAGAGTACTTCCATTTCGATATGCCATTGATGTAACCAACTTCAAAGGGCTCCCAATAAATGAGGATGGCAGCCAGTAACACACCCAGAGACTGGACCTGTGGGCATACCATGAGCAGGGAGATGGATGGTAAGACTTACAATGTCTCCGAGGACGTGGACGACAGCAGCATTCAAGGCGAGGTTGTTGCTATCTGAGTAGGGAACAGATTAGATACCGTCACCAGCGCTACACTGGAGGAGACAAGACTACTTCACAGTACAGATCAACTATGTGTTCGCCGGGAATATACGACTTGACACAGGAAGGTTCCGGTGGCGACAAACTCGAAAATTACTATCAGACCTCCTTCCAGAGTCGGTACTACCATGCGAATGGGTATGCGTATTTGCACCATCCCCTACGTCCTCTAGATTGCCATGGGAATGGTCATGACCAACGCGTGCTCCTCCGTGGCTATGATTATGACCGAGAGTGACCATCAGACAAAAGTTCACCAGCAAGCCGATGAGCTGAGGTTATGGTATGGCCATCGGGGGCTGCAACCGCCCCACCTACCGCCATGATGCTCATTAGGCCACCATTAACCTCTTCGAGGTTTATGAATCGCTGAAGGGCCTCCCACAGGAGGACGCCGGTCATGAACCACACTATCATCACGGAGAACAGGGCACCGAGGATTTCAGCTTGACGATAGCCGTATCTGGAGCCAGCCGTTCCAGGGCGAGAGGCGGCTGCTCACGTGTATTGGGAGGTGGGGGTCTTCCCAGCTAACACTACGGCGAAGAGGGATACAGCGAAGCCTGATACGTCGGACACGATATGAGCTGCGTCCGTGATCTGATTTGCGGAAGGAGTGGTATGAGATCCACGGCAAGGTAAATATATTACAATTGCCAGGGAATGGGCTAGAATACCCCCGACAATCTCCAATATCATAAAGAACATCGACAGGCATATAGCCTTCCTCAGCCGCCGTTGTACCTACTACCAGCACTCCTATTTCCACTCCAGGTCCCTCACTACCTCCTTGGCCGGCTGCTCGTTGCCCTCACCTCCCTCAGTAGGGGCCGTCGGGACTATCCTCTTCTTCGGCATGGACACTACTGTGAATTTGGTATCGCCACCTTCATCCTTGACAGTCCGGCTGCCTGGCGATGATGGCATTGACTAACTACTGCATAGAGACACCTAGGCACCTCCTTGAGCGGATCATGACCAATGCTGCGACAAGACGCGAACAAGGCCAATACCATACCACGGTGAAATCATGCCAAAATCCATAGGCAAGTACCATACGCTCCATGTGACTCTATTATGACCACAGCCCTCAATCCAACGTCTGTCCTACACGCGCATCCTCGTCAGCCAACCTTCTGCTCCCAATTAGCACCACAATTTTGCAATTTTTCAACTTTTGTTACTGCTTACGCGCACGCCCGGTCTGACGTTCTGCCTTTTCTCCCAGGTAGATTTCTGCCGCTGCTGTCGGTGATAGGGAGTGTAGTAGAGTCGCTTGCTCGAATTTGTGGTTATAGTTTTACGTGGCGTAGTGCTGCCGCGTTGTCAATTTATTTCCAAACCAATGCGATTTTTCGAGAGGACCCACACGTTCCCGTACGACTGGGAAACCTGTAAGTCGGAAGGGGTGTTGTCCTGGCTCGGACAAGCGTATCATAGGATGACCTTATAAGATACGAACTAGGTCAGCTTTGGTCCCTTATGTCAGGTACCTCAGCATGGTGGACGAAATACCCCAATCCTGACCAGCCTCATGTGAAGCAGGTTGACACTCTGTGCCGAGAGGTCGACCGCGACTCAGGAGTGAGCCTACCATATCGACTACTTACAGTGATGGCTTTTCAGAAGCTCAGAGTTCGTCGATTGTTTTACCTTGAGCACGATCTACCTAGTTGGGTCAGGATGATGTACAAGAGGAATATGGAGGTTGGGCGGCGGCCCTTATAGAGTAGCAACAACATCGGCTCCTTTCAGGGCTATGCTGTCGAAGACGTTGAGTGTGATGTCCGCAACAAGAAGTTAGTGGCTAAAGGGTCTAACTACACCTTCAGTGAGTGGCCTTAGTGGCCCCTTCGAGCCCCTGCTTGGCTTTCTTCAGGCAGTTTCTTTCGAATGCAAGAGACTATCACCTATGAGCAGCATCCGGAAAATCCCGAGTACTTGGGCGGTTGGCACGTGGTAGCGTAGGGCTCACTTGGTCAGTGTAGGTGGACTCTCTATCGGCAGCGGATGAACTTCAGCGTCTCTGGACTTGGGGTCCTCTGCGGTCGGCTGGAACAAGCCGCTCGAGACAGTTCAGCTCAGAAGGCCCACAACGGTGAGGGGTCGCTCGGGTGGGGGTAGAGGGCAGGAGGTGTCGTAGGTGTCACTGTCATGAACAAACTCATCGAACGGCTGCATCTCACTGATTGGAAGGCCGATTTGGATAGTTGGAGGCAGGAGGTAGCAGTCGGGCCGGGGATCGAACTTGGGTCGCTTGTGAGCTGGACAAGACCTCTATCCAGGTCTCCAAAATGACTGATGATGCTTTGGAGAAGGGCCGAATCACCGCAGCGGAGGCAACAGAGAGGCTTAGACGATTCCAGTCTGAGGCTAAAGGCCGCATCCAGCGTGCTGAGTCATCCTTCATCAACAGAGTGGCCCGAGCCGCGGTAGCCTCCCTCCTCTAGTTTTTCCTCCCAGATCAGGCTCCCTCAGGTCCACTGCGAGGCTAATGGTGGCAATGCCCTGGACAGTACCACCCAGGACTGATCCCGCTCGAAGTGCTCGTGTAGAGCCCACTATCCCGTCTTCCCTAGGCTGTGCGGCGTCGACGCTGGCCTGTTTCCGCATCCAAACGAATCTTAGGTTCGAGCGTGTATGATACCATTTAGGTCTCTTTTTTGTCACATTTCGTCCTATCTTATCCTACACACCGTAGTACTTATATTTATCACTCTGAGGGTGTCGTCGTATTGTGTTACAGTAGAGCTATATTCCTTGGGAAGCGTTTTGTATCCTCGGCATTCCCCTGCATGTTCGGAGGGGGAGGAGGCGGCCTATTTGGGCAACAGCAGAGCTCGCAAGCCGGCGGACTCTTCGGTGGTGGCGGCCAGCCCGCAGGAGGCGGCTTGTTCGGTGCTCAGCAACAACAACAGGTAGAGTGGTGGCGAGTCGGGGTAGTGCCGTCCGGCAAGCCATGGGCCTTCAGAATGTGGGAGGAGGCCTATTTGGTAGCAGCCCCCAGTCGGGTCAAGGCGGCGGCCTCTTCGGTGGAGGCGGCGGCTTTGGCCAGCAGCAACAACAACAACGACCAGCCGGTGGTCTCTTTGGAGGAGGGGCTTTTGGTCAACAAGTACGACTTGTAGTTTTAGCACACATTATGTCACTTATTGCAGTCCTCCGGTGGTGGTCTCTTCGGTGGTGGCGGAGGCGGCTTTGGCCAGCAACAGAATACTGGTGGCGGCCTCTTCGGAGCACAGCAGCCGGCAGGTGGAGGAATGTTCGGTCAGCAACAGGTTAGCCGCGGTATCGCATACCCCAGGCCACTACCCTCTGGTTCAGAGTAGCGCCGGTGGTGGTCTCTTCGGTGGTGGCGCCTTTGGTGGAGGTGCCTTTGGTGGTGGAGGTGGGCAAACGGCAGGCACCTCTCAGGTGAAGTACCAACAGGTCATCGACCATGACTCCCGCCTGAAGGTAGTAGCTGCTCGGTCCAGCTCTGTGAAGGTGCCCTCTTCAGTTGGAGTCGATAACCGCTATGGACGCCTACAAGGGCAAGTCGTTCGAGGAATTACGGTATGAGGACTATGCCCAGGGCAGAGGCCCAGGAGGTGCTGCTGGGGCTACCGGCATGCAACAACCGGCAGCTTCTGGTGAGAGCCCCCGTCCGTCGGTGTGGGGAAGCTTAATGGCAGGTGGCTTGTTCGGTGGCCAGCAGTCTGGTGGAGGCGGCGGCCTCTTTGGTGGAGGAGGAGGAGGAGCATTCGGGCAGCCCCAACAACAGAGTGGTAGTACCTCTCGAGATGGTGCAGGGGGATCCTCTGGTCTCAGGTGGTGGAGGACTATTTGGTGGTGGCGGTATGCAGCAGCAGCAGAGTCAGGGTGGCCTCTTCGGTCAGAAACCCGCTGGAGGCCTATTCGGCCAGCCTCAGCAGAACACTGGAGGTGGTCTCTTTGGGGGTGCAGGAGGTGGAGGTGGCCTCTTTGGTGGGGGTCAACAGAGTTCGAGCCAAGGCGGCCTTTTCGGTGGTGGAGGCGGTGGCCTCTTTGGCCAACAGCAGTCATCATCTCAGGGAGGGCTCTTCGGTGGGGGTGGTGGAGGTGGCCTCTTTGGTGGTCAGCAGCAAAGTAGCCAAGGAGGGGGTCTCTTCGGAGGAGGAGGAGGCGGTGGAGGCCTGTTCGGCCAGCAGCAGTCCTCACAGGGCGGAGGCCTCTTCGGTCAGCAGCAGTCGAGTCAGGGCGGTGGACTCTTCGGCGGTGGCGGGGGTGGTCTCTTTGGAGGCGCCCAGCAATCTTCTGGTGGAGGTCTATTCGGAGGTGCTCAGTCTAGTGCCGGTGGGGGCCTCTTCGGTTCTTCGCCCAATACTGGAGGCGGCCTCTTTGGCGGTGGCCAACAGTCTACCGGTGGTGGCCTCTTCGGTGGTGGCCAGCAGGCAGGTGGCGGTGGTCTCTTCGGCGGCGGAGGAGGACAGTCCGCTGGTGGCGGTCTCTTCGGTATCGCCCAGAGTAGCAGTGGCGGTGGCCTCTTCGGTGGCGGAGGTGGTGGAGGCCTATTTGGTGGTGGACAGTCCGCTGGTGGTGGTCTCTTTGGTGGAGGCCAACAGTCATCTTCGGGCGGCGGTCTTTTCGGCGGTGGAGGGGGCCTCTTTGGTGGGCAGCAGAGTAGTAGTGGTGGAGGTCTCTTTGGAGGGGGAGGAGGCGGTGGGCTCTTCGGCAATAAACCGGCCTCTGGGGGCGGCCTCTTCGGAAATACGGCGGCATCGGGCGGGGGCTTGTTCGGACAGTCTTCTAGCGGTGGGGGTCTCTTCGGAGGCGGCGGTGGTGGTGGAGGGCTCTTCGGCAGCTCCGCTTCGTCCTCTGGTGGCGGCCTCTTCGGTGGAGGAGGTGGTGGAGGTCTATTCGGTGCCAATAAGGCTACTGGTGGTGGTCTCTTTGGGTCCTCCCAGCCCCAAGGGGGAGGTGGTCTATTCGGTGGAGGCCAGCAACAACAGCAGGCCAGCATGCAGCCACTGTCTACACCAGCGGCTCTGCCTGTCCCCCCTCGTCCCAGTGGGTTGCTGCTACCCAAGGAGGTCGACAAGAGCCTAGCAGCTTACCTCTGGAAGGAGGAACCTAGGAGTCATGTCACTCCACCACCCCCTACGACCAGCGGTGGTAGTCCCCAGACCCCAGTGTCGTCGTCGAGATCCCCTGGTCTCTCCCCGCGCAGTGACAGGTACCACCACACTGATGGGCACTGGTCTATTGGTGGTAAGTGTCAGATTCTCGATTCCTGGTCCAGCTCTTGGTGGTGTCCCCCTGTCCCCTGTGAATCCATCTTCAATGAGGCACCTCCACGTCCGGGGTGGCGGCAATGCTTCCTCCCCCAGTCCGGATCATGTGCTGACCCCACGGAGTGCCATGACCCCTAGGGCGGCCACAGGCCGCGCCAGCACCATCAGTGGTAGGTTGCTTAGTATAGATGTGTCTCGGTAGTACTCGTCTTCAGGTGGAGGCAGCACCAACCTACTGCTGGAGGACGGTACCGTGCCCTTGCGGAACCCCGATGCTGTTGGATCTAGTTTCGTGGCGTTGGCTGAGTGAGTCCGCCCACCCTCTCCAACACCGTGTTCACCCCTACAGACTCAGGCATCACCATTCATCTCCTCTACATGGCAGTCCCAGCCTAGAGTACGGCTCGATGACGTCTCCTAGGAGGTCGCCATTGGCTTCCTCACTGATTGACCACGAACCGGATGTCGTCATCACCCGCCCTGGCGTTGTGTGAGTGCTGCTTTCTCGGACTGCCTTACCGCCTTCCCATCTCTTTCTTTGTAGATACTCTTCTTGCGAACGACGGTCTCTGTCGGCGGATCGTCGACGGTCCCCGAGTGTGGGGTCTGCGAGGCTACGAGAGCCGGCACCACGCAATATGGTGCCGAAGCTTGAAGATCCCAACATGTGGTAAGTGTCTGGACCCTCCCATCAGCCGCCTAGGATCGATCAACCTCAGGATTCGGCCGTCCCTCGACGCCCTATCGTTGATGAGCGAGGCTGAGCTTGCCCGTGTCGACAACCTGGCTATTGGCCACTACTCCTACGGCAAGATTACGTGGCCTGGTGCGTATTCACCGAATCGAGCCTTCGCTGTATTCTCCCATTGCTAGGCCTCACTGATGTACGCTACTTGTCGGTGGACGACACTGTGAAGTTCACTGCATCGGGTGTTGTTGTCTTTCTAGACGATTCGGGTAGGCGCCTTGACTCGCCTCCATTCCCTCTATTCTCTCCTTACTGTAGTCCGTCCCCCGGTTGGTAAGGGACTCAATAAGCCTGCTGTAGTAGAGCTGTATGTGAAGCCGAAGAATGCCAAGAAGGCGCGGCAACAGCCCGAGAAGGTTGGTGAATTCCGTCGGTGCCCTGTGTAGTCACGCTGTTGTTTGATGCTTTCAGTACATTGATCGTATGCGACAGTTGACTGAGGCCTTGAATGATGCTACCTTTCTCTCCTACGATTTGGAGACTTGGCGGTTCAAGGTTGATAATTTCAACAGAGGGCTGGGAAATGGCCCGCTCCGGTAACCGGTGTTTCTACTTATAATGACTGATTGAACAACGCTGCTACTCCTACGTACATTTATCGTGTATGTCATTTTGTTGTGTACATGAAAGTTACAAGAGGAAAATCATCAACTCGCGAAATCAGTCGCGAAATGCCACAGTGCCGCGTAGTAGAAGTCTGCCAGTGTCATTGTACCCGTCGATAGCACCAACACTCAAAGAAAATATACATGCACCCTATTAGATAATGTATGATTTAGTGTACATAGCACCATGAGATTTATCGGGTGGAGAGGGCAATGTTGATGGGATGATAGGATGGACGACACTGTGCTGCTTTTTTCGCTCCAGCACGGTGAGAGGGAATTCCAATAGTGATCATCACTATTGGAATTCCCCACTAAGTGATCATCACTAAGTGACGCTTCCGGTTTCTCTAGCCGGATCGTCTGTGTGCTGGTTTCCCCAATGCTATTGAGTCGGACTTTGATGATTTTAACGCGTGCTGGGTTCTAAACCAGTCGATGCACAAGGAGGTCGAATAAATCCTGCGACCCTTTGGATTTTGGGAAAATAAGAAAGGAGGGAGGAAAGACAAAAAAGCGTCGAGAGGAGCATCTCTTCATTCATTCTGACTACCACGCTTACGCTGTGTAATAATTCGGATGAACTGGGTCCACATTTGTTCGAGACTATGTATATGCTGTCTCGGAACTATGTCTTGACTTGGAATTAGCCAGAGAGGCAGGTCTAGCACGTAGTGCTCTCTGCGGACTAAAGCGCTGCTTTGTCGACGGTTATAGAGCACGAACCAGACCGTTATATAAATCGACTTTTCAAGATGACTTTCGAGACACGTAGACACTTCTCGAAAGTTCCAAGAAGTCATCAAGTCCCTGGATACTCATCTACAGCTGAGCGCCCGAGCGCGACTAGGCGAGGAGCAAAACACCGTCATTGACTCGGACAAATGCCAACGTTGCTAGTCACCGCGTGATACAGCGAAAAGTTCATGGTCGATGTTAATAAGCAGTAACATGAGGTGGCGACGGCGACAACCTTTGGCAATGGAAATGAGCACGTCGTCAAGGATCAGTGGCTCGGTGGTCATAAAGAGTAGAACCTGCCAATGAATGGAATACGACCTGTCGACCAGCCTATGAAATCACTCCAACTGCAGTTTGAGACGAACCAAAAAGAAATAGAAAAGATAGAGACTGTATAACATGATACTTACTACTAGCATGCTGCTGAAGAATACCACATCAGAACCACTTCTCGCCTAACGAGAGTTGACCCATTACGGGAAGATGGTCGAATACTCGGACACCGGGCTCATGGTCGTCCACGAAAAGGGACTCTTCGAAAGAACAGGCGGCTACACCGTGGAGCTTGAGATCAAACTCCCTATTGGACCGCGGGTTAATCACAGCCAGACGGTCTATGAGCTTGTCACGATTGCCTTTAAAACGATGCCGCTTGTACGAGTACTCAGCGACGGTGAGTCCTGCTAGGGCGTTGTCGAGGTCAGGGTTGCCATCGAGGAGGTCCACAATGTCGCAGTTGAAGTCGCCACCGACCAACACGGGGATTCGAGTTGCGTCACTGAGCTCTTGAAGGAAGAGGAGGACCGCTGAGCTGCAGGCATTAGCCTGGTGCCTGGTTGCATGAAATGAGCAAGCAAAAAATCTACTCTGCATCTTCTCGTGTTCTAGCTCGACAACACATATTCTACTCAATGCCGTGGCGAGCTGACCATGTGGGATGGCACCGCAGTGGGCCTTCACCAACCGGTCCTTAACAGTCGTCAGCAACTCTTCCGGGACCGGCCGAGCCACCGAAAATTTTTCGCAGTTTACAAGAATGCCCGTGTCATGAACTTGGCTCTTGTAGCCTGTGAGGTACTCGAAACGTCGTAAGTGAGTGTGGAAGTAGCATATTTGGGCCCGATGAGCTGAGAGGTTGGACTCCTGCACCATGAGTATGTCGGGCCAGCCGTCCTCGTAGACACCACACACGAACTTCTTCACCTCCTCCTGTCGGCAAAGTGACTGGCTGGGACTCTTCTTGCTGAACCATACATTCCACGTGCCCACCCTGAGGCCGTGGACCTGCTCCGCCTTATTCTTGGCCAACTCCTTCTCCTCTCCCTCGGTGAGGACTACCTCACATGCATCCAACCACTCAGTATCAACAATCGTAGCCGCCGAGCTCTGCTCTTCGCTGTAGTCCCGATGGTCGCCTCTGGCCGTGAACAACGGCATCATCACTCTCTCGCTCTCATCAGCCGAGGAGTCTTCCCCCTCTTCCTCCTCATCTTCCTCCTCAATATCACTCGGCATCATCGTCACTGACTTCCATAGTCGACTTACAATAGGCGGCACCGTCGTTACCTGGGATGCCTCCAAAATCTGGGACCCCGCCGGGAGCTGCGACTCAGCACTCTGAATCTCAGTGGTATTAAATACATCATCAACACATGCATCCATCGCCGCCCTCTCCTCCTCTTCCTCCTCCTCCTCAGAGGTGCTCCCTTCGGAGTCCCATGTTTCCTCTAGAGCGGACCTAGCGCTCTTAGCGGACGGCGGGCTGTGGTCCTGCACCATCACATGCGACACCAAATTGTCCTCAAATGTGACCTCGTGCTGCTGGTCCTCGCTCACCGTCGGGCTACTAGTGACCACCTCCGGGCTGTTGGTAAGCTCTAGAGAGTTGTTGGAGACCACCGAGGGAGAGGAGGTTGTTGAAGGGAAGCTCACAGCCGACTGTGGCTCGTCACCGATGAGGACCCCACGGACACAGTCGGGCAGGCTTGGCCAACGAGATAGGTATTGCTTCTGGCCGTCGTAGTCATCAGATAGCGCTCCCAGCTCAGTGAGGATCGCCTTCACCTTCCTCCTCGACTCTACCGGTGATCGGTTCGCGAGGCTTGGGTTCTAACATAGACCACCTCGGTGTAATTACCCTACACAAGCCACCCACATCATCGACTAGCTTGGGCCAGGACAACCCCAGCTTCCGGAACTCCGACAACTCAGAGCGATCGGTCACTCTGTCGCCCACGGCATCCACGAAGGCCGTCAGTACAGCCACCACCTGGACCGAAAGATGAAGTAGTTTGGCCACAGTTGGCTCCTCTCACCTCAAGCTCCGTCCAATTCCGGCGTGCTCGTACGACCATGGGAGAAGGCAAGTCTAGAGAGCGGTCTCGACGAGGAACACAACACAAGTGTGAATCGAAGTGAATCAAATGAGATTAATTGGCTTCCTCCCCAGCAGCAGCAGTTGCCCTGCTCTGGGCCTGCTTGATGATGCCTCTCGCGGCATCAACCAGTTCATGCAAGTTCGGACCCTCACATAGCGGCTTCGACCACCAGTTGAAACGCCTGGGGAGGCCTTCGAATAGATGAGCCACGAGTGCCTAAGACCAATGAGCAGTCGTGATGGTGACCAAGCTCACCTTCTCCTCCTCCGGCCCTTCCACGACGAGCTGCTCACGAGCTCGACAATAGACTACTCGCAGGTCGCTCGAGTCCGACAGAACAGCGGAAATTTCGGCGTCATCGTTGGGCGCTGTGGAAGGACAGTGAGAGACAGTGAGGGAGGGCAGAACCGACCTTCGTCAAGCGACACGTCCATAGGGACATCATCGACACTGGAGATGCCCATTTCGGCCTCCTCCATCTCCGCGAATACCTTCGCCGACTCCTCCGCCAGCCTTTGGAGCTCTCCCTCCAGCTTCTCAGCTAACAAGAGACGAATTATGTGGCGCGCGGTAACTCCCTACCCTTGGCAGCCTCCCTAAGAGCCTTTTCACAGACATCCTTGATCTTCTCAGCTCGCCCGGCCACCTCAGCGGCCTCGCCCGTGAGCTCCCCCACATCTACAGCCTCCTCGCCACCCTCCACTGGCTCCACACGCTTGCGCAGAAGGGGTGAAAGCGTGTGGGGTAGCTGAACTTCATCTGATAGAGACCGCATTTTGTCCATACCAAAAACACTGTACTGGTTGCGGCTACCTCCAGGAAGGCCCGTCTTAGTAGTGCTTTCGAACAAGGACAGTGCTGGCTTGATCGAAGCTCGCTCCGTGGAGTCCAGCCAGGGTGAACACGACAGCTTTTGCAGCGTGCGTATTCTCGTATTGAGTTCCTGTGTGAGAGATGAGGTCGGCCAGGGTTGATTGGCTCACTCTCTCAGCCTCCCTCAGCTCCGACAAGGCACCCTGCAGATCTAGCAGAGTCGACGTCATAACACGATGGTGTAATACTGACACCATAAGTAGTCTCAACAGATATGCGTTATGGACTATAGCACAGGGCACTCCAGGAGTATCCTTGCAGTGGTGGGATAATTCACTCATAAGACAACAACAAGTTCCTCTAGAAAGACAGTAAGAGTACAATGGAGTCTTATATACTATAAACTATACATGCAATGTTCCAAGGCTATACGGCCGGCTCCATCACACGAGGCCTTTGGTCGAGCTTTCGAATCGAGTGCACCCGGGGTGCTCCACTGGGATCAGCCGTGGATGGAGGCGGTCTCACAGAGGGAAGAGGAGGAGCAGAAGGTGGAGGAAGGGGGCTTTCTATAGGCGATGCGCCTCCCTCGTGGTCACCGACCCAGCGGAGGCCTCTGTGTGGGACCTGACGAGTAACGTGATACCAAAACACATGCAATTCAGCGATCAGCTGACCTTACTGTTGCATTCGACGGTGAGGATGATGCTGAGGTCGGCAAGTAAGTGAGAGCCTCCAAGCACACCTCCGCGAAGGTCGACTCATCAGAGTCGGCAATACTATGAATGTTGCCGTCGACTAGTGACCCTAGTGTCGGTACACTAACAGGCAGGACATGCTCCTGTAACTCCACCGAACGGTGGGTACCTCCGGACAAGGTAGTAGGACGGAGCCAGTGTGATAAGGGAGCCGACTAATGAGCCGATTGCGACAAAGTGCCACGTCCCAATGTCCACAGTGCTAACGTATTTGATCCACACTGACACGAACTCTCCTGCGAGAGCATGGGCCGTCTAAAAGAGACAAGGCCGACGAAGCGGCAATAGCAGCAGCACGTACCATGAGGGCCAGAAACCAGCAAGTATAGCCGGCAAGCAAACACACGAGAACCCGACGGGGCCACTTCCGATTGCCTATACCACATCGACACCGGCTAATAGCTCCGTCGCTAGGTGAGAGAAGGGAACGGGCGGAGGTTACGGCGGACCGAGGCATGTCTCAGACTCTGCTAACGACAACACCAGCCGACCCTCCCCGAACTCGAAGAGCCTAATACTGATACAGAACTTCTATACCGTTCAGAGATCTATCTCGCGGTTGAGGCCATCGATTCAACTGGCGAGGAAAATCACATTCACGGGGGGATATCAATTTGGCGGTGGTCGTCGCATAGGAAAAATAATTCCGCAGGCAAGGAATCCAATTTCACCGACAACAACATCAATTTCGGATGGCAGTTACTCGATGATGCCGATTCACACTGCGCAGCCTCACGATCCACTTCTGAAGGGTAGCATTCACTGGATGCAGCCTCCGCATGGTACATACAATCTACGTTGTATTAGTGGTAATCGTCCTTGGTACACGATATTGGTCGAGCTCTGATCGTAGGTAGACCCTCGTGGGGTCAAATAGGACTCGTACTAGCCACTGAAACCAGCCACAGCCCTTCACGAACAGGTACCACAAAAACGCCAATACTATACAGGAGGAACTGAATGCCCAGATAGATGCACTAGTAGACAGCAAGACTATTGATGCCCCTCCTCATCCTCCCGAACACAGTAAACAGAACTCTCTTGCCTAACTCCATTAAGGAGCACACGAATGCATCTAAGGAGCGTATTTTTTTCTTAGGCAAATTCAAAAAATCTGTGTTTCTCGTTAACGAATAAGAGTTTTGAGCAGAAACTTTAACAGGATATACTTATTATCATCATACATCACATGTTGAGTCGAAACGGTCATGTTCGGAACGGTTACTGATATATCATGGCGAGCGAAATAATCACCCCCGCGAACCGTGCAGATTCCTTAGGCAACACAACTTGATCTCGTTATTATGCCACAGAAATCGCTTCTAACCGACACCGAGAAAGCCGTCGTAGTTAAGAGGCTTGCTGAAGGGGCTAAGAGCGTCGAAGTTGCGAAGGAGCTTGGAAGGGACCACCGTACTATCAAGAAGTACCTGGAGGGGCAGCACCCGTCGCCCGAATCGACCAGAGCTGAGGAGCGTAGTAAGCAAGCATTAGCTGAGACGGCCTTGCTGGCAAACTCAACCTTGCCTTGGCTATCGTAATCTGATCACTACTACCCACAATCGTGATACTTCTCAGGTAAAACCCGAAGATAACAACGACATTAGTCTCGCCCACAGGAGTCTCAACTGCTGTTGAACCAACATACGAGTCACACACCCATCACTCAAAGGTAATATTCCGTCTAACGCCTCCCTCGAACCCAAGATGTATTCGATCGCCCATTTGGACAGCTTCGTTGCCTTCCAGAAGGGCACAGGTACTGGAGTGGCAAATACTACTCAATAACCCCCTTGAAAAGATGGAGGCCCACATTGAGAAACGCCACACTCTCATGTAGTTTACCACGGAAAAATACAGTTTACGAGGTCCGTCAACCGCATTTAGGCGGAGAGTAATGGTAAATAACGTTTCGCTGTAGCGCGAGGCCGCACTATAATTTCGTGGCGCAGTGACGTTTTCTCTCATAATGCGCCTTCATCATATGATCAGATCCATCTCAGTACGCCAATACCGGTTGTTGTATCTGCCATTAAATCACCCAGCCCTCCCCCTCCTCCAACTTACGGTCCCAACTTGGGTACTTCCGGATGGTCCTGTTCCTCATCCTGACCATCCCAAGTAAGCGGAACCCGGGGGTAGAAGGCGACCTACAAGCAGCAAGTCAATCGATCGCCCTCATCACCGATCAGCCTACCAGGGCATCCTCGGCACCAATATAAAGTGAGTTATAAACCCGCCAGTAGCACTCCCTTACTCGTCGAGCCGGATGCCACAACCCTTGAACGACGTACCTAAGGGGCCGCATGGATGCACATAGCCACGACCTCTGTCGGAACCTACTGGAGGACTCGACAAGGCCCTATACTGACTCTCATAGCATCCATTGCATCGAAGAAAGCCTGAAGGGGAGGAAGAGCTGCTGTCGAGTATACCACCACCCCACTAGAAGGCGCACCTGTATCATATGAGGCGCGGTCTCGAAGATGTTAGGGAAGATGTAGTTCATCAAATGCTCCAGACATTCCTCCTGACCAAGGGCATGCACACCTGAGACCATCGCAACAACAGCACTGGGGACCATCCTATAGGAGATGAGTGAATACCCAATGCCATATGCTTCACCGCCCAGGTAGCCGTCTGTCGATGGACGAGGTCCCTATCGATGAGGGCGTCCTCAAACAAGGGTGTCACCGCGTGAACATAGTCCTTACCCATCTCACCAATATACCTGATATCAAGACAGAAGCGATCATGCTCATTCCCCCCATCAAAGTGAACTCGCGAAGGAGCTCATTTTATAATTTATTCGCCACCACTGCGAGTAATATTCCTCTAGTGACCTCCAGAAAGGGAGTGCTTACTCGAACATGAATGACAGACTCTTGAGGATACCGTTCTGGACGTGGAGCTCTGGGACTTTGTACTCGTTCATTATCGCCGGCAGTACAGTGAAGGGACCACATGTCTCCGCCACAATACCAATTGCCACAGTTGCTGACATCCACTCAAAACTACCGCGCGCCACGAAATTCCCACCACTTACTGCACACCCTCAACTGTCGTTCCTGAACCTTGAGGTTGTTGAGCAAAGTAGCGATCACGTCATGAGGACCAATGGCCTTGGCGATGTACCTACCACAAGCAACCATTCACATAGCCCTTCGAACAATCTATCATCTTCGGAGAGTTCCTATACAAAATTTCAGGTTGATAGGAGTAGTAATAGAGGTTGGCTCTTCAGGTTGCACGTACTGGAACCAGAACAACTCACCCGAAAGTATTGACAGCAGCTCTCCGTATGCCCTTCTTCTGAGCCTTAAGGAGCTCCAGTAAGTCAAAGCAGATCCTATTCCATTCTCTAGGAGGAGCCAGATCCGCACCACGGTCAGCGATTCGACCGATGAGATCGATACCTGGGATCAGTGCTGTTGAGACAGGCGGTGGGAATAGGGGGACCCACAGTTCTCTTCAACTTTCTCATGACGATTCTTCAGAATGGGTGTTAACCGCGGCAACAGATCTTTGATCGGCGGAGCCATCTTGGTCATACCGATGACGTTCACGATAGCCTTCAATGCACCCAAGATCGATCCGAGCACCTGACACAATATTATAAGCAACCCAAGAGCTACCACCGTGATGAGCTCACCTCTGGGTATTCCTCACCGAGATACTCATACAGGAAGAGACCAAAGTGACCCAACATCTGTTCCTCTCCACACAGCTTCATAACGCCAGCTATGCGTGCTATCAGATCCGCTGCTTGTTGACGTACCTTGCATCATACTATTATCGACCTCACAAACAAGACACTCCCTCACCCTTGCACTGGGAGTGTTCAATCTCCACCGGATGATACCAGCGATCTGTGGCAAGTACGGCTTGATACGTACCTGTGTAAGTAGCCTCTGTAGTACTCAACCATCAACGAATATCATCATCAGTACCCCCAGACAGTTGACTATAGTCCCAAACCCATTAAGCATAGTTTCAGTATCGTCAGACGACTGCTCTTGAAAGGCATACAGCATCCCATCGACGATCTAAAAATGCCAAACATGAATCGCTTCGCTCCGCTAATCATTCCCACTTGTTCTTCAAGACGTGAGTCAACATCCTGGACGCCCATTTCATCCACAACCTTCTCGATGGTCTCCATGACCATTCGGCGATACCTGAATCACACCTACGCAAACCCAGCACCCATCACCAACTCCTCACGCTTCATTGTTATCCTTCAAATCTTCGGCAATCCTCTGGACAATCTCCGCTCCGCCCACTTTCCTTGCCAACTCCACAGTGGTGTCCACCAACTGTTTATAGTTCCCTATAACAACAACAGCATGCACCCTACCACTCCAGTGCCCCTCCGCCCTCACTCCGATCAGCTGCCATGCGGACCACCCAGAAGTTCCTGAAGAAGGGTGGAAGGATATCCTCTCGAACATAAGCTGCCTCAACACCCTCTGTCGCCACACATTGCTTCACCACTTTCAACACCTACAACAACACTATCATCACCGGGCACCACAACCCAGCATCATCAACCTACGATCTTCTTCATCTCCTCATCAGGAGTTGAGAACTCTCGCACCAAGATGATCATAACCTCCCGAGTATAGTAGTTGGCATGCTCCGCGTCCATCAAAGGGATGATGTACCTTACCAGTAGATCAACACAAACCCATGGATGGTCTCCTGCTCACCCGATGGCCTTGAGGAACGCCGCCAGTCCCTTACCGCGGTGCTCACAGATACCCTGATCAAGGAGGAAGACTCTCACCCCAACCAAGAGGATCACGACAACTCACTCGCCATAACGGCCTAAGAACACTGTCAAAGCACTCGATACCATACGGGAATGCAGCCTCGGCCAGAGCAGCAAGAGCCAACGCCGTGATTGTTCGGACCTACATGCCACGGTGGATGCCGCTGGCTCAATGACAGCTCCTACCTTCTGCTGTTCATCACCCAATCCAAACTGCACTATATCGACAAGTTGCTTCAAGTAAGACAGCACTCCACAGCCCATCAAAAGGGCTATTTGCTGGACCTACACAACGCCAATGGTAATACAATCCCCGACCCCAACCCCCCAGCCTTACAATCTTGATGCCTGTATGCCGCGCCTGCCAACTCTTCTTACTCTGGCATACAGCCTTCAAGAAAAGCATAATCTGCGGCACACCAAGGGCACTCGCCACCACAGCGAACGCCCTAGCAGTCGTATTACGGACATACCTATAACAGCAGCAACCTCATCATACCACTCCCCGACCAACTCACGACTCACTCATCGGGATGGTCAATATCTGGCCTCATAGTCGCGATCATCGTAGCCAAGCCAGCTGCCTAAGTAAGGCACGAGTCACCAATATACCAGACAGCAGCGCTGTACTTTAGACAGATTGGAGATGATCTCTCGTCCCTCCACTCGAGCAAAGTAGTCCTCATCAATCAATAGAGGCTCAATGACGACCAGTATCTTATGGACGTAGGGACGGACCATATCATCCAGCTTGTGGAGAACACGGTCAATGACCTGACCAGCTCCGTAAAAGACCGTGGCTGAACATAACCTCATTACCTTCACCAACAGATGCCGTTCCTGATCTTCCAGAGTGGTGCTCATAAGCAGGGGAAGGATCTGGTTGAACAAGGCGTCCGGCCCAAACTGCTTCGCGCGCTCAGTGATCTCCCTCATAGCCATCTTGCGCATCTGTGGCGTACCTAGCCAGCAGCTCATCATCACCCCATAACCCCTCAAGGACCACACCTACCATTCTTAACCTTCAACAGCAAGGCCATGACCTTCCTCTCCTTAGCCTCCTCTGGGCTCAGGTTATCATCAGTCTCTCCACCCTACCATAACGACGCCACTACGGCGAGATCAGCCCCCCCCCTACCCTTACCTGTATCAGGGCAGAGAAATGCTGTACATCCTCAGGCCGCAGGTCCGGCAGGTCTCCAGCTCCACCGTATCTATGGTAGCTCCCTCCATTCCTCGCCAGTCTACTACTGTGAGCTCACTTAGGATGAACAAGTCCAGTACCCGCATCACTGAGACCAGCAGTCGAGGCATCAAGCCCAGCCATCATCGCAGGAGTAGCGCCACCAGACGGCACTGGAACAACACAATGGAACCACATGTCATAACGACAGAAGCCTACTAGAAAAGCCCGTGGTCTCTCCAAGAGGAGTAGCTGCCTGATTCACGCTGATCCTATGTGCCTGCTGCTGAGCTTCATACCTGACCACGATCAAATTCCTCGGCTCTACCACTCCACGGGCATCTCACCCCTCAGGCGGTTTGACTATCTCATATCCAGTGAGAGGCAGCAGCGCATCAATCTCGTCATCAGTCATGTACCTGAGTCCAGCCTCGTCTCTCAACCAAGTCTACCCATTTCCTACTTATTCCTCACATCCAGCTCTCGGTCCAGCCGAGTCATACCATACCTAAGGCAACATCTCCGAGATCGTTCCATCGCTATCCCTACCCTGCCGCCTGGAACTGAGGCGTGAGGCCCATAGGCGTCTCCATGCCCGGCTGAAACAGCGGTGTCGTGCCAGGTGTCGCTGCCACCAAAGGGGTAGCCCCAGGCGTTGCTCCACCCATCCCTGACCACAGCCCTACACAACCGCACCTCCCTTCCTTACTACCAGGCGTCCGGCCCACAGCATCATCCCATCTACTCCTAGTCACCGGAGTCTCCCCCATACTGCCACTACCATCAGGAGTCTCTCCACCAGCACCGTAAGGGGTCTCAGAGGGGGCATCAGAGAATCGAGAAACGCCTAACAAACCAGCTGATCCACCTCGCCTACCGACAAGACTAACCGTACGTTTCTTTTTCATGGTCGGCTCGGCACCTCCAAAGGCCCCGACCGCGGGCGTTTCCCCCCATTCACCGGACCCAGCCACAGGTGTCTCCCATCGATCATCCGCTTCCTTAATATCGAAACCTGCAGCAGGCCGCCCTCTGTTGTCTGTAAAGCCAGCAGCAATCCTACCACTGCGGCGCTTCTTCACTTCTTCCTTTTTCGAGTCTTCATCTTTACCCTCGTCCTTCCGCTTGACACCAACACCATTCTCGCCTTCCTTCTTCTGCGTCTGGATTTGCCTCAACACCTAAGTCCGTCGCAACACTACACTCAACCTGTGAGTAATCTCAGTGTAACGCCGTGCGTGAGAGGAGCCGCGAAATGACCGTTGGCAGAGTGTGGTCCACCCGTGTGGGGAAATATGCACATGGTCAACTACATGTGTTGGTGATAATATGATTGATCCCTCGAGAGCTAATGTGCATCGATGCGAGTCTAACTAAGCCGTGTTGTCGGCCTTGTAGACTTTAAACTCACACACCGATAATACGAAAACTCCGAGGAAATTGCTGAAAAATTCTCATCGATTCATGTACACTTTTACCCGAATTCGTATGTAAGCTTCTATAAATAGGGAGTAAACTCCTGAGCTCAGCTGAGGAAAGCGAACATATATTCCAACGTTGCGGTACACAGTAGATTCAGGACTATAAACCAAACCTTGATGAGCTCCCTATCCAGAAGAATATACATGGGATTCCGTCAATCATTGTATATCTTATTTTTGAGTAAACGATGACCCCTATACCACCTCAGCTCTCTCTTTCTGTAGAGTTGCTTGCTGTGCTACATCCGAATAGGTAGTCAAGTCTGCTGCTGGTGTCGCTGACGAGAAGGGATCGGCACGTTGAGGTGACAAGACCTGAACCGCAACGATACAGGCCACCTCCTGTCCCACTGAGAAGGCAGGCATACCCTATGCAGAGCCTTTTCTCGATAGGTGCCCTGACGCTGGTAGACCCCCTTTTGTCGCTCCTGCTGTGTGAGTTCGTCTTCGCCTTCTAAGTCGTCATCCACTCGTTTGTCAGGTTTCGTTGGGGGCATGGTTCGAGGCAAGCAACCACTGCTCTCATGATAATTTCAAATTTAATTCATTCTTCACGCGTACCAGAGCCGTTTCAAAACGATGTATCATCAACAGAGTCAACCTCCAGTAGTAGAGAGCAAACCAGTCCTAGACGACTCCGTGGTCACTTGCTCAAATGACAAAGGGTACGGTGGGGATATGCTTCCGCTCATCAACTCAACTCCCATTCTCGTGATTATTTCCACTACTGTCAACTTTTCCGCGCTCGCCCTGCGGACAAAATTCAAATTCCAAAGAGATTTAACAGATTCTTAAGATGCACTGTCTCGTTCGACCTGTTTTTCCTCTCAAGGACATAATTGGACATTCGAGAACCGTATAGCAGGTCTTCTGTTGAATACGGTATCTATATGGATGAGTCGCTATCCAAGGGTCCAACATAGGTGGGAGGATGTGGAGGAATGAATCTTAACAAGAAGTTGAGAGAAAGGTCGATAATAGATAGTATCCGACAACGATATGAATGTGAGGAAAGATACTACGAGGAAATTTGATGGGCGGGACAGGTTTCGCCAACTCGGATTTCGCCAAGTAACCACCGCACCGATTTCATTTGCCAAGCAGTCAAATACGGAATGTTGTGCTGATTACACCATTCCAGTTTCAGTTAGAACTGATGACATTACTACCATTGCTCGCACTCCTGTCAATGCCACATATACTTCTACCACGATTACCAGTGGTAATCATACAAATTTTATTTGTATGGTTGGCACTTTACTGAGCAGTAAATGCGTTAATGAGCAGGATCATTCGCTGCAGTTTGCGAGCTCTTATAGTTTGGAGTTTTTGAGTCATTTGAGCAGAGGGTCGTCGCTACGGTTTGTGGATATATATATTACCTGGCCCAAGCTTTGTGTTCTTCTAGGAAGGAATAGTAGCTACGCGATCAGGAGTGCCAACCGAAGTGCCACTTAACCGTGACACGGATGTTACTAGAGAGGTGCGCGCTAGGAAGACTAGGAATAGATTATCTAAGATAATCTACTCCTAGTCTAAGACTTGAACTCAAGCTTACCTCCCGCTACGGGCTGTCAGGGACACAACCCATGGATCCTCGGTTGTCGTTTGCCCCGGTCAGCGCGAGTATCACAGGGATACTCACCGTCGCGCGCAGGGTTCAGGATAGGCGTGTTAAACATGATATCAAATCGTGGATTTAGGCCATAGAATATCAGTTCTGAACTGACTTCCATGAGGTGGATCCATAACGAGGCTAGACTTCAGCGGCTAGAAGACACGGGGATCTCCCAGATCCGACACCAGGCATTAAGAGCCGATCTGGGATGAGGGCATCCAGTTGCATGACATGCTATAGAGGGAAGAAGCTCTCGGGGAGACAGCAGGATCTGTTTCACGGACACAGCATTGAAATGTGGACTGATGCTCCACATGTGGGAGATCCTCCCATCATGGGTGTCCCATGGTGGACCCGCCTTCACAAGGAGTAATTCGAGCTAACAAAGTCCGATTCGAGCTGAAAAATTCAACCACGAAATGGCTACACTTTAACGAAAATATACCCGTCTCGTAGTTTCGTATCGAATTTCAGGATAAGGGCACATGAGTGCATAATATAATATAAAGATGCAAAGCTCTCGAAGGAAAAGTTCGGGTTTCAATGGGAATTAATTAACAGTCAGCCAAGAATAACCAACACGAATACAAATATCATCCGAAAAATGAAATCATAACTAATATAACATCATTGGCCCTCAGTGAGCCAAAACTTCGCATCTTCAGGAGGCTCATGGTCAGGCAGCAGTGTCACCGCTGTAGTGTTAGCCTTCACATGCAACATGGCGTATCTGTCCACCACTCAGACTCTATCACCGACTTTGGCATAGACTAATACATGCTGGGCTGATCAAACCCTGGCAACAGTCTTTGGGGAGGGACGCCCAAGTCGGCGACCCGCAGGGGAGCTGTAGTTGGTACAACTTTGTTATTTCTGTACCTGACCAGAATTCGGTGGCCTAAGATCCATACGCATCGATACAGCCCCTACAGTGTGACGTTCCCTTCTCGGTCAATTCGCAGCCCCACCACATCTCCTTCTCTCAGCGCCGATGCATTCCAGAAGAGGAACTATCGCTATAGGAGTACTCCAATGAACTATGACGCTTGCCCTACTCTAGTCTCTATCTTCTCACCATACACAAACACCTCCCCCTTCTGCACTATTGCCAAAGTCACATCAGGACCACGCAGTTTTTCAGGCACCTAAACTAGAGTGCCACCCTAGACCCAGAAGAGGCCATCAACTACCGAGTGCAGCGGGGGGCTGACAGTAAGGGCTATGGTCACACCACCACCAAAGTGCCTACGACTCGTCTTGGCTACTCGAAAAGCAAAGTAGTGGTCGCCGCAAGCAAGACCTGTAGGAAGCCTTTATCATTCCAACAATTGTCGTCATCGTTGCTTACGTCGCAAAGGAGCATTCCCTAGTACTATCGCCAGGAAAGGCTCGTACTCATCCTTCCTCCTCACGGTGTACTCGTCGACCCACTCAATGTTGGGGCTGTGCGCTTCACGAGCGAAGCCCGTCATGTGCCGCACCACCTTGTCTCTACCAAACGCCTAAGACAAGGGTATTATTCTGACCGTCTCAGGAGGGGAGGCTCACATCGGCCAAGAGCTCGAGGTTGCAAGCGGGTACTCCGAGGGTGCTGACAGTAATTGACGCGGCCTGTCATTGTCATCGATGGGCTATGAAGCCGCAAGATCTCACAAGCTCCAGAGGGAGTTCGAGGACTTTCATCCATCGGGCCTCGGGGTCCACAGCCTTACACACTCCACTGCTAAGATGAACATGCGAGCCTTGATAACACTGAGGCAACTGAGTGGCAGCATTGAAGGCTCTACCTGACGAACAAATCGTATAGAAACAGCAAAGCTGAGTGCACTTACACACTTCCCTTAGCAACCTGAGATTCGCTCCGACTTCTACTATGAAGGATAGGACATGCGGAAGGAGCTCCTCGGCCAGCCACCAGGAACCACCTGCCACACGAAGAGCTTTGCTGCTGTTCACGGCAGGGCTCCGACTCCTACTGGCAACGTCTTCAGAGGCGTCCTCTACGCTATGAATGGCCAGCGAAGTGATGGTACTCGACGAGCTTATACTGTCGCATCTCAACTCTGTTGATGGCAGCTCCTTCGCCCACTTCTTGTTCAAGTCTACATCCTCCTCACTCGAGGAGTCTAGCTCGCGATGAAGCAATGCTCGAGCATGACCAGCCTGAAGCGGTAATGCCCTTGAATGTCAATGACAATGAGTGACCTCACCAGTTCAGCCTTAGCTCGAGGGCCTAGGAGCTCTAGACACAGCGGGTTGAGGAGATCCTCGGTCCTGAGAGCGGCCACTCCACGGTGCAGCGCGAGCCTCTCTCGAGTATTCTGGTATTGCCCCGGGCTGGACATTTGTGTTACTACAGAAGAGAACTCGGAATTGCCTCGTCTTGGTCACACTGTATAGGAACGCAACACGCGCTCAGCGACGACAATCACGACCCAGCGAGCCTGGAATCATCAGCAGCTTCAGGCAAGAGGCGTTGTGCCTTCCCTTCTGACAACAACTCATCTATCACGCACATGTTCTTCGACTGGAATCTTCTACAGCGTAACTAACAACAAAGACAGTCTTGATCGGCATCCCCTGGAAGGCGTACTCTCATCTGTGCTTCATTGACAACATCATCAATCCACGGCTGCGACAACTCCCTCTTGACCTTCGCCAAGTAGTCCTCCGTAGTATTGGAATCTCCAAACTCGACTGAACTCCACCAAAAAAGGAGAATTTTTCTACTATGTTCAACTGGCTTGTAATGTCGTTGCTGCCACAGACTAGGTCACGTCCGACTGATCTCATTTCAATCACTTTTGCCAAATTTGGGAGATCAAATAGAAGACCGAATTTCAATTTGGTGTCAAGCTGCCTACAATGCTACTAACGGTATCATACCATCCCCGAGATGACCCTGTAATACTAGTACAAGGCATCTATCACGCCCATAATACGGTCAAGACTTGCTGTGAGGCTACGGGAGTCGCAACAGGCCGTGACGAGGGTGAAGACTATGAACCATCCCATCATACCCGCTATGTCCAATACAGCGTCCAGAGGCATCCTGTCCTCCACTATTGCACTAACACCATTGAGCCGCCCTAGGCTCGGTATCATAGCCCTCAGCTTTCGCGCCAGAGTAGGTAAAGACATCTACTGCTAGTCTGACCAATGTGTCCAGCAGCCTTCTCCGCATACTACCTCCTTAGCTAGAGGGCATCCTCTAATCGAGAGGCTCTCTAGTTGCGGGCATCCCGATACTCCAGACAAGTCCGCGATAGTTCCTACGCGATAAGCTTCGACCAAATATAACTATAGTAATATACTGAATATCAATTTGTGATATGGCCTCCTTTATCAGTTACAATATTATACTATGGACAAGGAGCTTTACTACAACACGTCACACGTATACTATGTATATCATGATTTCGCTACAGGCACGAAACCGTAAGCGTTTTTCAAGTTGTATTTGTAAGGTAAGGTATATCGGGTGAAAAACTGGGGTCCTTACTCACTAGTTTTCGAGAAGCCACATTTCTGAAGTGCATCTAAGTCCAGTCTAGAGCACTTTTATCTATCCTGCTGGAGCTGTCACTATATCAAATATACACAGATCTATTATTATTCCTATCTCGACAAATCCCAGCTCAGCACATTATCCCAGACTGTACGTAAGTGATTCCCATCCAGAACGATCCTCTTCAGGCAAACTAGTCCGCTGAGGTCAGTCACCTTCCATAACCGTTCAGCTCTACAGATATGCCTGTACTACTTTAGCCAGCCTGTTGTTTGAGAGATCCAGATGACTAAGGCACGATAGGGGCTGGAGGACCTCTAGACCTGCCCTCGGGCTCTACTACGACCACCATTCGAGGACGTAACCTTTAGAGATCCTATTCCTCGACAGATCGAGCCACACTAGATTCTCACATTTCCCGATACCTAAACACGGCTTCCACCCAGCTCCCTATGCCCACTGCATTACTCCAGCTGATCTCGTGCATGCCTCTGTCGGAAAGTCCAAAATAGTGACGGTCAATGGGTCGAACTGGCCCATCTTTTTGAGGATACTCTCGAGGGTAATTCC